AAGACAATTTGCCTGGGAAAAAGCACTAGCAAAAATAACAAAAGTGTCAAAATTTGTGCAGGAACGAGAACAGGTTTCAGTAGGAACATCGGCCGAAAGGGGGCGCCTCATGCCATACCATAAATTTTGCACGGTCTCAGCCAGAGCTCCATACTCACCCTTGCCCGTGAGGGGCTTGTTGGAGGTATACCACGAGGTCCTTCGACCAGACCTGCCGAAACCGAAGCGCTAGCAAGGATTCAAGCCGAAGACGTACGGCGAAGACCGAGGGGACGCAGTTGCGCTCCACACCCGAGAAGGCTGCATGGGTGAAAGCCACATGGCGAAAGCCATGTTGCGAAGCACACGGACTTCGCTGGAGATGGACCTTGTCAGAAGAAGACTACGCGGGCGAAGGCTGTATGATGAAAGCCATATCGCGAGGCACGCGAGCTTCGCCAAAGCCAGGCCTTGCCAGAAGAAGGCCCGATGGGCCGTCGTGCCCTTGAGGAGCCCCTTCGCCATGACTGGGCCGAGTCTGTTGGCCCATTAGAAGCCCGTATATGTAAAGGACACAGTGTGCCCTCAATAATGTCCCTATCATAAGGGCAACCATGTAAATTCCCCTATAAGCCCAAAACCTAAAAGAAGGGAGCCATAGGGTTATAAATAGCCTAATGGGGGATCCCGAAAAAATTTGACCAAGTAATACAATTATCTTTACTTCCGACTATTGTTGAGAGAACCACGTCCTTCGACGTGACGCAGTTGTCGTTTGACAACAAAGCCAATTGTGGACCCGCAGTAATGGGTGTTTCTATGCTAGTGATAGTGTATGGTGTGCAAATCAAACATTGTGGAATCTATGGTGGTTCCCAAATCCCAACGCACAAAGAACACAGCCTTAGCAAGTGTATGGTGTTGTGATAGTTATTTTCAAGCCAAATCTATCTATACCATATTACGTTCAATATTAAGCACTTGAGAAATTGTTCATGATCCGAATTTTATAAGTTCAACATCATTTTTTTCTTCGCAAATACGCAAAAATATTATACGTCAATATATTAGAAGAAAGTAAAATTTCAATTACACAACACAACAGCAGGAGGTCAGGTCACTGCCAAGGAACGCCAAGGAAAAAACGGTTAGGGGAAGAAAAGAAAAACTCCAAGGAAGTAAATGACTCCGAAACTAGCAAAGCATCAAAGAAAGGGCCTGATACTACTATCCTGCTAACAAGAATTCTAATTGAGCAGCGCCGGCGCACCCCAACATCAAATATCTACTCCCTAGTTTAATGGCAAATATTTATGACCGAAACAAGTAAATAAGAGAGTGCTTTATTATAAAGGCACCTGTAGTCACAATTTATGAACGAGGTAAGGCATGTCATTGAAGTCACAATTACAACCAACTCAAGACACTTTTGGAGTAGGGGTGTGTTAGTTCACGTCAAAATTAGAAATTTGGTTGAAATTGAAACGATGTGATGAAAAAGTTGAAAATTTGTATGTGTAGGAAAGTTTTGATGTGATAGAAAAGTTGGAAGTTTGAAGAAAAAGTTTGGAACTAAACTCGGCCTAAATATGGCTTGGATTCCGGGCAAATCGAAGGAAGTGCTGAATCTTAGGCCTGGTTTAGTTCCCAACTTTTCCTTTAAACTTGTAACTTTTTTATCACATCAAAACTTTTCTACACACAAACTTTCAACTTTTCTGTCACATCGTTCCAATTTCAATCAAACTTTCAATTTTTATGTGAACTAAACACACCGTCAGTGTGAAAAGATGAACTTCATGTTGGCCTGTCATATCAATCGTGATACTGGCTAACAGTCTTAACACAACCAAATCTCGGTAATCCAAGCTTTGTAGCGACCATAAAAGGTGCTGGAATATAAAGACAGATAGACCTTGTTTAGTCCGCGGAAAGAAAATATTTTGGTGTCACAACGGATGTTTAACCGGATGTCGGAAGGGGTTTTCGAACACGAATAAAAAAACTAATTTCATAACTCGCTTGAAAACCGTGAGACGAATCTTTTGAGCCTAATTAAACCGTCATTAGCACATGTGGGTTACTGTAGTACTTATATAGCTAATCATGAACTAATTAGGCTCAAAAGATTCGTCTCGCGATTTCCATACAAACTGTATATTTAATTTTTGTTTTTATCTATATTTAATGCTACATACATGTGTCCAAAGATTTGATGTTATGTTTTGGGGAAAAAATTTAGGAACTAATCCAGGCCATAGTTATAAAGATTTTTGTGAAAGGTTTTTGAAATTTACAAAAATATCTTCCTCTAACTTCATTGGTCAACTAGTTCGTCCAGGGATAATCAACTTGCGTGCAACATGGGCCGAACAGTGTAAACTCCAATCATGTGTTGCGGCCACACTCATGGGGACTCCATTTTTGTCCATGTTAGGCTAACAGTAAAGTACCATTCTCCATTTGCTGTCCATGTTAGGCCAACAGTAAAGTATCATTAATTTTTCACGGAATTGTCAAGGTGAACAAAATTAGCCACTGTCTATCCGTACAAGATCGACACGAATTTGCAGCGTGAGTTCTGTCTGTACAAGTAATCAGATAGCGATTGCTTTCTTCTTTGTTCGGTGACAAAACTACGTTTTACCATCAACTCTATCGAAAAAATACATGTAACGCTCTAAGCCGTAATATATCACGACCACGTATTTAGAAGTGAGCTAGTCTCATCAATCTAATCATCTCCTGATTGGCTTATCAGTCATAAGCAGAGGCTCCAGGAGCCACATCTAGGCCCTGGCTTATGGACTCATAGTTTTCTATAAATTTTAGAAATTAATATGAAACTTACTGGAGTCCATAACCCAAGCATAAAGCTTGAGCAGTTGAGCCCTAGATATCCTATGATATGCCCCTGGCCGCAACAGTAGATTCTATTTGCCTTAGCTTTTGAAACATAAAAAGGAAAAAAAGTTTTACACATAAATGTTCCTTGTTTGATTTGTTATTTTTCTACGTCTTATCATCCATAACTCAACCGATTATAGCCATTTAAAATAAAATGAATTCCATCAACCAGATAAAATTATCTCAAAACCAGATAAAATTATCCATCAACCAAAAAGAATAGATATAATTCACAGCTTTCATCCCTGTTTAATCATGGTTTTAACTTCATATGGTTCGCTTTATTTTTCCGTGATGTTTGCTGTCTTATTTGGACTACACTCGATATGAAGTGCTAAATTGTAATAATGGGTTGTAGCTCTCTTGAGCAAAGGCCGGGATGTTTATTTCTTTATAAAAAAAATGGTGTAAAGATAGATGGGAGTATGGACTTGTCAACACAAGAGTATGGAGGTATTGTGGGTGTCATCTGTACCTCTTTTAGATGCCATCTGTTTTAATCACTATTCCTGTTCCGCACAGGCGCACCGACAAGCAAGGTGGCGCGTGTTTTTGGCCCACACCCACATGTGCGGTTTTGACCCACCAGCTACAAGCAATTCCGAATTTTGATAAGTTCACGATTCCGCCCCACTAGACCACCAGTTACGTGTGCGTTGTTAGAGTGGGATCGGGAAAGGTTATGATTTGCTCAAATAATTAGTTTTTTATTATCACGGATTTAATTAAGGTAACCTTTTCTTTTATTTTATTCATAGGAAGTTGTTTCTTTTTTATATAAAAAATTTAAAAATATATACTAAAATTTGCTAACTTTCAAATAAAATTTAAAAGTACTTCCTATAAAAATATGAAACTAAAATTTAAAATTTTCAACTAAAAATTTAGAACTAACAACTAGATTTTGAAAATTTTCAACTCAAAATTTGAACTTTCAAGTAAAATTTTAAAAGATTTCAACTCAAAATTTAAACTATCAAGTCTAATTTTGAAAACTTTTAACTCAATTTTTGAACTTTCAAGTTAAATTTTGAAAACATTTTACTCGTTTCAAAACTTTTCAACTTAACTATTTGTTTACTATTTTCATTATAAAAACTATAATTAACACGAATCAATTCGCTTAGCACTGTAATTAGCACTAATAGCGTGTGAGCTATCCTACTTCCTCCGTTTCACAATGTGTCTAGATTCATCAACATCTACATGAATGTGGACAATGTTAGAAAGTCTTATATTGTGAAACGGAGAAAGTGGCTATTTTCATTATAAAAACTACAATTAACACGAATCAATTCGCTTAGCACTGCAATTAGCACTAATAGCGTGCAAGCTATCATAGCGATGCGACACTATGCACAATAAGGAAAAGCGTGTATAAAAACAAAAAAGACAACCGAGTCCAAGATGCACGGTACTCCCTCCGTCCCAAAAAAAGACAACCTAGTACTAGGATATGTCACATCGTAGTAAATTTTTTTTAAGGACGGAGGAAGTATTTATTTTCTTGGCGCACCACTGCCCAAAAGGAACCCCCTTTCGGAGTCTGAGTGATCTCCGTCCTAAGACCCTGTTTAGATGGGACTAAAACTTTTAAGTCCATATCACATCGAATGTTTAGATATTAATTATAAATATTAAACGTAGACTATTAATAAAACCCATCCATAATCTTGGACTAATTCGCGAGACGAATCTATTGAGCCTAATTAATTCATGATTAGCCTATGTGATGCTACAGTAAACATTCTCTAATTATGGATTAATTAGGCTTAAAAAATTTGTCTCGCGAATTAGCTTTCATTTATGTAATTAGTTTTGTAAGTAGTTTATATTTAATACTCTAAATTAGTATCTAAATACAAAGACTAAAGTTAAGTCCCTGGATCCAAACGCCACCTAAAAAGCCAAGGGAGTGCATTTTCTAGACAGGTACTAGGTAAGAAAATACCTTTTTTTTTTACGGAGGTAGTAGCGTTTTCTATATAGTTTATCAAAAATATCTACCGCTTTAATTACTCTCCCTTCTCCATGGAGAGCACGTGCTCTCCAATTTATCCTACTAATATAACACAAGAAACGCAATCACGACTGAAAAGTACGGTGAATTTGTCACTTCATGTTCTCTCTGATGGAGATTTTGTTTCGTTTCCGTACCGCTTGTAAAGTACCGTGATACGGACAGTTACGTGTGGGCATAAAAGCATTCACACATGAAGTGCAGATATAAATAGAAACCCCGGCGATCAATTAAAATGTGCATACAGGGAGACCAAAAACGGTGCCATCCATGTATACCCTTCAACCACGCGTATGCATCTCCAGCTCCAGGTCATCCATCTCCCCTAAAGCTGCTCGTCTATCTCATCAGAAAGCATCCACTGGAAAGGTTGGCAATCTTGCACACAGCAATAGATGTGTGATCCTTCAGTGAGTGAGAAATGTAAACCAAATACTCTGCTTTGTTTCATGTTTCAGCCGTATTTCAGGGAGATTCAGGTGCATCTAAGCTCCAAACTGGGAGAGGCATCAAATGCCATGAACAGTACTTACCAACAGCTGCTGGATTCATTTGTTGATCACACCTTCACATTCAAATGTCAACCTTTGCGTCCCACTGAGGTAAATACAAATGGTTCGATTCTGTTCCAGTTAACTTGCTGACAAGGAGCTGAAAAACGAGCAGAAGGCAAAATATTATATGCATACCTTGTGTTGGCACTTCTATAGAGCAATTTTGCACCAGTCGACGAGATCGGGGAGATCACACGGGTTATAGAGATTGAAGGAGAGATTCCAGCAGATTTTCCTGAGGGTGTCTACATAAGAAATGGTAATTCACATATGCAAGCTTATTAGTAATACGTTTGACCGAATAAGATTTCCTTTTTTTTTCACAAAATGTCATGGAACAAACCCAGATGCTCTGATGATTGTGGAATGCAGGCGGAAACCCTCTCTATGGAGGCCTCCAATCTGTTAGTTCCATTTTCGGGCAGTCCCATAACATCTGGGTGGAAGGAGAAGGCATGCTCCATGCTGTATACTTCTGCAAAAGTAATAACAGCACATGGTCAATCTCGTACAATAACCGCTACGTGCAATCTGAAACATTTAGGATTGAGAAAGAACGTCAGAAACCATGCTTTCTCCCTATGACCGATGGGAACCCTCCCGCCATGCTCATCGCCTCTGTTCTTAACACAGTATGGTGCCTGCTGCTATTACTACATCGCATTTCTTCTGTAATTTTTTTGGGATTGTCGCAAACATTTTGGAAATGCTATATGTTGACTGTTGAGTATGTGCAGCTGAGATTCCGAAAGGTAATGAAAAGCATGAGCAACACTAGCGTGTTTGAGCATGCAGGGAGAGTTTATGCAGCATCAGAGGATGATGTTCCCCACGAGGTTGACTTGCATAACCTCAGTACACTAGGCAGCTGGCATCTCGGTGGTGAATGGAAGTTGCCATTTACAGCACACCCCAAGGTCGGTGGTCCTTTTGCCTAGTTCTTCAAAATGTTAAGCTAAATAGCTTACACATCAGATTTTTATGGCCCGTAAATAGGGAGTACCATGACCATAAATAAAGTAATGAGAATGCAATGCATGTGCTTAGATTAACTGACAAGCATCACATAGCCGATTTGACATTGGAGATGAACACCAGAACCAAGCATAGCATCTATGAATACTGTCTATAAGTTAATTCTTACATGGAAACAGTTAGATTGTTTTCTGTTGGTAAATTAGTACAGCATTACTCTGCTTCAAAACTAAGAAGATAGCTAAAGATTATTGCAGAAATATCCATGGAAATCTGTAACTTTTAAACATGTTTCCACCACAACAGATGGCCACCACATCATTTAAATAATGACAAGCAAAAATATACAAATCAAACTGAAGGTAGATACAGCCAAAATTCAGTCCCTATAAGTTTCATTCATCTGAACTTTCCAAGTTTTCCAATAATAACAGTTCAACTACTGTAGTTAAAGCCACTAGTGCTCCATTGTTTCATTTGTACATCTGTTAGCTTTCTTTTGTCATGTTTTAGCTATGCAATGCATCATGTCCACGGTAACAGGTAATCCCTGGGTCAAAAGAGATGGTCATTTTCGGGATCAATGCGGTACAGCCTTTCCTAACAGTTGGCATAATCTCAGGTTATCTACTTTCATAATTCCATTGTCTTCTGCTACATCTCCTGAATAAAAATGGGGTCATATGCTTAACTTCATAAACATCACAGAGGATGGAGAAAAACTTAAACAAAAGGTTGGTCTCAAGCTAGACAGATGCACATATTGTCATGAAATTGGGGTCACGGGGACGTAAGTTTCTTGCCTACAGCTAGCTATATTTGTTTTTATGGCTGCTCTTCTGATTTCATTAGATATTTAGATGCATGTAAAATTTTGCTCTTATTTCAAATAGTATATTTATTTAATTTCAAGAATTGCTCTTATTTCAAATAGTATATTTATTTAATTTCAAGAAATGGAAGATACTAAACAGCACATTTCACATAGACTGATGCACAAGAAAACAATCAATCTTGGTCGCTTCTTGAGGATTCTTAATTTTTATTTTTTTTCAACAGGGAATTTTTAAGTAAAAAATAGCAATTTTATTGTGAAGAACAGAGGAATGGTGTCTTATGAACTAGATTAGAACCAACTGGAAGCTAGTAGAAAACCATCATATTCGTTTCTTTTTCATGATATGAAGTACACTAATTTTGTCTGGTTTACTGTCATTTACAAATTTCTTAAACATTACACAGAAATAAAACAACAATGTCTTAACTCACATGGGATGGACATGGACTCCATAAAAAATCTATTAGAATTTGAAACACAGAGCACTATTAATCCCTAAATGATATATATGGAATAACCAAATCCATGGATCCCAGTTATGGCAGCAACCAGCTGAGTTGCTCTGCTACTAACTGTAGGATTGAGAACTCACATTCTAACTGTGCCTAATTCAATGCTTGCAATTAGTCAGCAGCTCAGTCAATATTTGTCTAGCAGTTTTCTATTGAACTGTACAGAATAACCAAAAAAATAATATATTCATTTTTTACTATGCCACATAAAATAAGCTATAACTTCATTAAAGTCAAAATAGTTCTATTAAAGTCAAGTTCTCTTGAAGCTCCACTTTTCTTATATAAAAGTAAAGTGGACCTAAAAACTTTCAAATATGCATGAACACAATAGCTTTAATAGGATGTAATGAATTTTCTAGAAATAGCAAACCAATTAGAAAAATTAGTGAAATCTAACATCCTCAATGATTGCAGGTACAACATCATCATAGATTCACCACTTACCCTCAACCCAACTAGGATGCTAAGAGGGGCTCCGTAAGTACTTGGTATAGCTAATACCAAAAATCCAAAATTATTCTCACAAATCGAATTTATCCTTCTTCATCCCTCATATAGAGTGCTTGAGTTTGAAGAGGAAAGCTATTCAAGAATTGGGGTTATGCCCCATTACGGTGATGCAGACTCAGTAATATGGTTTTATGTAGAACCATTCTGCACATTCCATCTTGTCAATTGCTTCGAGGAAGGTCATGAGGTAGGCATCTATGTTATCTCTAAATACTTCTACAGATCTACCTTAGTTAGACACAGGTCCACTGCAATTTTGAACTACAGTAAATGTGTGTTCAAAGGAAGCAGCATAAGCAATAGTTGAGTAACTCAGATAGTCAGATGATCAAATAGCTAAAGCAGCAGCTCGACGACTACCTGTTTCTCTTGTGACTAGCAAAATGCCCGTGTGTTGTTACAGAATTAAAAATATCACATCGGCACATTTCAAAGAAGAAATCTATTTTGAATTTTAGAGCTTAATTTTAGAATTAGTGAGAGATTTTTCATCTTTTTATATTTTAGCCGTAAAATATTTCAAGCGGACTCAATCGACTTATACCTTAGACTCTACACAACTAGTGGACAGTGGTCCCACATATCAGAAATTTGGGGAATTTGGTGGTGGGGTGGTGGTGGCAGATTCATGACTCATCACCACAATTACTATCTTTTAAAGGAGTATAGATTTATATTTTAGCCGTAAAAAGTTTCAAGCGGACTCAATTGTCTTGTACTTTAGACTCTATGCAACTATTTGGAGAGGGGGTAGACAGTGGTCCCACACGTCAGAAATTTGGAGAGTTTGGTGGTGGGGTGGTGGTGGCAGATTCACCACTCACCACCACCACTACTCTCTTTTAAAGGAGTGCAGAAACTCAATGTCAATTTCTCACCCACATCAAGCACTCAAATCTTTTACATATATACAAAATTGTAAACCTTCCTAAAAGTTGTCACTTGTGAATTGTTCCATTGTATGTCCAATCTATGTGTATTTCACTGTTTGTGGGATATCCTTGCATACTCTAATTTGCTATCCTGATTATTATTAGGTTGTAGTAAGGGGATTTCATGTACCAAGTTCTGCGATTATGGGTCCAAGGCAGAAGAACATGGTTATGGATACTTCCAGTCAAGAACCAAATGAAGAGAACTTTTCTCGCTTGTATGAATGGAGATTGAACCTAAAAACAAGGACTGTTGCAGGCAAATACTTAACTAGCTTAGATGTTGCCTTGGAATTCCCAGTTATCAATGATAAATTTTCTGGCCTACGCCATAGGTACGCATATGTACAAGTGGCGGATTGTTCAGCTTGTTTCGGAGGTGGTCATGAAATAGGTATTGCTAAATATTCATTTTCATTTTTTTTCATACATATACACACTTTGAGTTGAACAAGAAAATTGAGCGGACAATACCCACAAGATTGGTAAGCTCTCAAATTGCTTTTACCATATAGTGCATCAAAAAGTAATACTACTCTGATAATTGTTTTTTCCTTCATCCAAAACACATGTGAAAGAAAAGGTACCTTCAGAATAATTAAAGAAAAGGTACACATGCCTGAATAATAAAATGTTCATTCTGCTTGCAAGCCTTCATTTATCCTTCAAAACTGATTTCATCAGTAGGTTACTTAAACTACAAATGCTATTGAGCAATTGTAGTTTAGGGAGATCAAGTTGCTCCTTAGTACTAAACAATTGAACTGCAATTACAGAATTGCTGATACTATGGTCCGAACAGATGGACTCTAGAACTAGAATTGCAATTGCTTATCTCTGCTATTACACAAATACATCCTCCTTCCCTTCCCACTCCCATCCCACGGACCTGTTTGGCATAGCTCCAGCTCCAACTCCACCTCTCCTGGAGCTGGAGCCCAACCAAATAGTTTCAGCTCCATCAGAAATAGGAGCGGAGCTGGGTGGAGCACTCTTACAAAATGAACTAGAGAGGTGGAGCTGGGTTTAGGCTGCTCCACAACTCCACTCCAGACCCAACTCCTGGAGCAGAATTTAGGAGTTGGAGCTCTACCAAACAGGCCCCACGTATAGAAAAACCCGCTCCAAAAAAAATGGTGTACCAAAAAAAACTGACCAACCAAAAGAATTATGGGAGAACAGAAAAAATGAACCACGTTCCTAACTAACCAACTAAGAGAGAGAAAAATACGGGAGAAAAACTAAAACCACCCCGTTCCATTGCAATAGACAGGCATCTAAATAGTATATCATAATTTGGGTAAATCTGTATTCCTTCTGTCATGTTTCTTATATGGACATTTGACTACTTCTCATAAAATAAGAAAATATACCACATAACTGCGTATTCTCTATAAAGCAGATGCCATATATTAGAGTACGTTCTAGCTTGTCATACTATAATGTTGATCTATAGAAACTAATTTCAGTCTAAATCTTGCAGCTCGACCAAAGTTTATTGGTTTTGCAAAACTTTGTCTTGAAGAAAAACAAAACATAGCTACTAAGGTATCATATGATCTATAATGAACAAGTAATTCGCTATTCCTATCATGCATAATTGGAAACTATTATGATCTTCTAATGACATGAAACAATTTGGAATTCTCAAAGCAGATAGACAGAGAAGATCTAATAAAGGTAGAGTATCATCAGCTAGCAAAAAATCAATTCTGCTCAGGAGTAACGTTTGTGCCTAAGGCAGCAGGTGCGCATGAAGATGATGGCTGGATAGTTTCATTTGTTCATGATGAGGAAACCAATATATCAAAAGTATGTCCTCATTAATTTCAACTCTATTGTTCTATGTGTCCTACAATGTCTCGATAACATATGGAAATCAGTTTTCTGCTAATCATAATGCATTCTACAAATTATCGATTCCAGCATTTTACTTGCAATTGCTTTTCTAAATGTAAAACCTACTAAATGTCCGTTTTGTTTCTCCAAAGATATAAGACTTGAGATATGGCATGCAAGAAGTTATCAGAACATTAGAAATTGGGACCGGACCTACTATTAATCAGAAGTTCAAATGATTTAACAATAACAGATGTATTGATAAACTATTCGCAGGATCAAATTCGTATGGTAATGCTTCATTTTCTTACGTTACAGGTACACATCATTGACGCCCGAAACTTTGAGAGTGAACCTATAGCCAAGATAATATTACCACAAAGAGTACCCTATGGTTTGCATGGAGCATTCATTACAAAAAGAACATGACAAGAGGGATTATTCTTTAAGTATGCCATTTACAATTAACTTTATATAGTCTATAGTGACAACTGCCAAGATGTATTTATAAATGATGTGATGATTTGAGATAATGTACATTGTTCAATCTTGAGGGTGCAAGTTGTGGAACTAGATTGGTGCCACCTTATCATGAAAGATACTCTGTATCTTCTTTTTCTGGAAATTGCTTGTACCCATAAATATATCAGTTAGATAGCATAATCTTTGTTCAGTTGTTCTTCCATTGCTAAATTTCAATTTATTGACAAAATGTTATTGTCAGCAGTTGACAAAACTGCTAAAATAGGTGTAATAATGCAAAAGGAAAAGATAATTGTTAGAGGTGTTTGGTATGATATCTTACTTTCCCAGGACCTTGATAATGAGGCTGAAACTTGAAAGTTTTGGAAATAGTTCCATCCAGTTCAGAATCCAGGAGAATGATTAGGAATCACAATATGTTCCAAGCTAAATGAAGCACTAGATTTGAAGATTTGCCTTCGTAGTTGCATTCTGCTCTTAGATCTTCAATGCTGTAGAACAAAACATTGTGGTTTTGAGGATTAACCAAGAGATCAATATGAGGAGTTTATCAAGTTGTTGGCTCTATATGCCTATGAAAATCCAGAGAATATATCACTCCAACGAGGCAGTAAGCATTTAAATATCCACCATAAGATCTCTTTTCAACTTCTTGCCATGTAAAACAACGTTCAGATCAATCTTCAGTGAACAGAGTAGTACATTTTACCTTTTGGAACTGTCTGCTACTCAGAAAGTGATATCTCACAAACACCATACCTGGTGATCACCAAAGATATCAAGCAACTGCCTGGAAATCACTGAGTTTGAAGTAAAGCATGGTGCTAGATCGTGTAGTCAGGACTCAGGACGAAAAAAAACATATCAGCAAAAAGATCATGCCCAAAGGGACTTAGTTCATTGAGATAAACTTGTCGCACAGAAATCATATGCAATCAATCTTTAAGTACAAGGAACTCTCGATACTTTACCAATGCACCACAGACAAAATAGAAAAACGACCACACCCTATATTATATATACTAGACTAGGATCAACCTCAAGATAGTGAGAAAATTCTGACATATATACACTCATATCAATGTTACAAAAGATTGCATCTTATTTAGCACTTTGAAAGAAGCAACATACAAATAAATACTGAAGGCCAAATGATTCAGTATACATAACTTGTAATCACAAGGATCACAAGGTAGAAGCAGTAGAAATAACATCTTTGGAACCACCAAATATACCAAATTGTACACATGTATCAATGAAGTATATTTCAATACAGAATGCTATCACATATTACCTATCTCATCAAGCTACTAAAGCTGAAACTAATTGACCATAAAAGAACTCTTGCAACTGCAGCCCCCAACTGCACTAGGATTTGTTGATACCTGCAAGATTACAAGTAATATAAGCTGTACCCAATGTATATAAATACAATACATTCTGAATCCAAACTTTAGAACAATATCATGTTGAATGTATGCTTGATTGCTGTAGAGCAAAAAATTCATGGAAGTGGCAAGGTTGACAAGTATTTGTAAAGTAACCTCTCCCTAACACCCAAAGGGCAAGGAGGATAACTAATTCTAAAATAATGTATCCCTAACACCTAAACGTCCCCAGTCCACCAATAACCCCTCCAGACCAGAGAAACCATGTGTGCACTTGTCATGATGAAGAAGAGCCAGAGAAACATATATGGTGGAAGAGGAAAAGGATTTTATTTGACCAAACTAGGAGAAGTTCTGACATCTTTCTCAACTAACTACTTTGGTATCCAGCAGAAGATTTGACCAAACATGTTTCCATGGTGAGAGTATTCAAATCAAGAATCAAATAGGTCAAATTTAAACTAACCACGAATGCGGAGCGTATAAGTTCTTCCTCATAATCCACAGTGGCACCTTTCACAAAGTCATATGAGACATCGTCCACAACCAATTTAACACCTTCTTTCTCAAAGATCCTACATGTGTAACAACAATTGTTGAGATAAGTAAAACTATTGATGAAGTATGTGACACACTCACTACATAAATCATCTATAAGGTATACACTCTGTTCATAAGTTTCCACAATAATGCTTAGAAGAAATACAGAATTTACACTTGTCTAAAATGGACAAACCAGTCAGGAAAATTGGCATACCGATCATCTGAGTTTTTCTTGTCATCAAGAGAGAAAGAATATTGGAATCCAGAACATCCACCAGCTTCAACACTTAATCGCAGCATCTTACCTTCAGAAGGTGGTTCTTTAGCATGTAATTCTTTTAATCTCTGTGAAGCATTAAGTTTCCAAAGAACACAAAAATGCGAAGCTGTTAGGAAAACTAAAATTATAAGAAAGTATGTAAAAGGAGGGGGGATACATTCTGAACACCAAAAGCATATTTGAAGTCAACTTGGCACAAATTGAATTCTCAAATGTTCCTACTGCGTTGAACAAAATGTGATAGAAGTAGCATATTCAAATGTAACAGTTGAAAATGAATCAAAGACAAAAACAAAAAAAAAGCAGGAAATATTTGTTGTTTCCAAAAAAAAATATATCACCTCTGATGAAATTTCAGGAAATCCCTTTAGCAATGTCCATATTTCAAAATTTTCATAATATTTTAAAGGTTTTGCAAACATATGGGGTATAAGTGTAAGCATATGAAACCACTTTTACTGTCTAGTATTAACAACAGAAAATGCATTCATCTAGAGACCCTGAACACATGTAACAAGAATTGAAATCCTGTCACAGAAACCCTGATATAGCCCAAAAAGAATACTCCATTTCAACAGTGAGAAATATAGGCAAGGCTAGGTGACCAAACAAACTTGTATAATCAACACAGCATTTAGCTCTGGCGCAATCAAATGAAGGGCGTCAAAGCCTTCTATTGCCACTCTATTATTTACGGGAACGCGAAATGAAGGTGTGTGCATGCTCCAAATATAATGTAGCAATAACTTAAATATCAAAGTGCTGACAAGATTATGTTTCGGCTGTCTAATAGTGTTTTTAGTTTTTCACTCTGAGCTTTGGAACAACTTATTATGCTTCATTGCTTGTAGTTGTCCTACACTTCACAGCTTCCAACATAAACTTCCATTTAGAAAAAGAAAAAAAAAAGCAATCCAACACCCATTTTTTGTGGCTGTCATACCCAAACGAATTCTCATGCAGGCTTTTGCATTTTGCCCCCTTACTGAACTAGTGAAAATGTTCAGAAAATGTGCTTCCAGTTGTAGCATTTCCAAAGCAGATTAACATAGCACACGGTGACTAGCTGACTCCGAATTCAATTCGCTATATCGGTATTTTGTCAGTGCAAAGCCCAAAAAAACCTCAAGAGGGAGGCCGCATATTTTCCCAGAACATCACGACAGATTACCTAAATCAAATCTTACCAAATCAAACAGAAAACATCATGTTACCAAAAGTTTTCAGCAGAAACCTCCTATTATGCCTATATTCCACACAGAATACGGGAGACACGATCTTGCTGAGGGAATGAACGAAGGGAGGGAGGAGGGTACGGGGACCTACTCGGATGCAGCCATCCGTCATGTGCACGGTATCCGGGTCTGCGGGCGACGGCGGCGACGCCCTCTCGGTTGCTGCGGCGGCGGCGGAGGAGGAGGACGGCGAGGAGGAGAGAAGGCGGTGGCTGGCGCGCACGCGGCCGCCGAGGAGGGCCGCGACGCGGCGGAGCAGGGGACGGGACGACGACGACGACGCGGCCATCGCCCGGTTCCAGGACGGCGGGAGAAGGTCGTGGCCGGGGCGGCGCGATGCGGAAGCGGAGGCGGCGGAACGGGGGATGTGGTGGGAGGTCGGTCGGTTTGGGTCCCTGGGTTGGACACGGTCGTGAGGATGACACGTGGGGCCAACTCGCGAGTTTCTCTACGTTTCGGTGTGAGAGAGTCTGGGAAAATGCTTTAGGCGCAGTCTGCAGCCGTAAGACACTGACGTGATGAACCATATAGTGAGCAAGTTAACATATATCCAAAAATTAACCCATTACTCACTTAATAGTCTACTAATAATACAATAGTTAAACCCTTGTTTAGTTCCCAACTTTTTCTTTAACCTTTCAACTTTTTCATCACATCAAAACTTTCCTATACACATAAACTTCCAACTTTTCCATCACACCGTTCCAATTTTAGCGTGAATTAAACACAGCCTAACTACCATTAATGCATTCCCCATATTTCTCTCTCAGGGCAAGTACTATGGGCATCTAAGTATAAGCCCTAAGATACCACATAGGGCTAAATGAGGTAGAGGAGAGAGGAGAGAAGAAATATGAGAGAGAAATAGGTACCTCTCATGCAAGGAGCAACCCTACACAAATTTCAAGAAATATATGAGAGTGTTAGAGATATTGCGATTGTGTGGTAGAGGCAACCTATTATGCATATTACCCCTTAATTTAATGATGTATATATTATAATGAAATTAGATGTGATAGTCATCTCTATCATAAAACTTGAACTCTCATGGCTTATTAGAATTTGTGCTGCAGCTGGCTATAAACCTGTAGCATGCCTTTTCTCCTCTCCTCCACATAAGCATAAATATGATGTGGCTATATGTATAACTCGCTTATATCATCTTATTGTACTCGCTCTAAACACTGCACAAAAATCTGAAGATATATTTCTGTTTTGATGATTATTACCGGATAGCGTGTCTCTGGAAACAGCTGGAGGAATCTTTCCCGCACAAATTTAACCTCGATTTCCGTTAACACATTTTTTTCAAATTGTTAAATAATATATCACAGCGCCACGTGCACTACCTAGCTATGAACAATAATACTCCATATGTAGGGTTGTTTAGCTGACAATTTAACTTTAGCACAATAGTTTTCACAAGATGTAACAAGCCATTATCACCCTTAAGACAAGTTGTAGCAAGAAAATGTACCAATCATGAATGGTCTTGATTTCTTAAAAGTGGTACTATACCATAGCTACACCTATCCCTGTGTGTAAGATGATCGACCACTTATGGCCATGAAATTTAGGCCCTAAAATCGTATATTTCAATCTACACCGATGCATTTTAATATGCTTAGTTCTCTTCATTTCACCTTTTTTTTCAAAGTCCTTTCTTGGCACTGGTAAGTGTTCGATGACAACCATGGCTACTTCGAATGGTTGTATCTCGTGACAACAATGTGAGTGTGTGTTCCAAACAATAAGAATTCCATTGTTCCACTTAATAAGAAAAATTAAGTGCCTCTTCAGAAAAACTAAATTGGTAATATTGTCAAATTTTTGTAGGATAAACTAAATATGTTGTAACCAAAATTATTTATACGTTATCAATGTTAAACGCATCCACATGTTTATCGACCTTTAAAAAAGGTATAGTTTAAAATGGCACCAATCTAAATAGGCTCTAAATTGGTGTAGCCATTCTTCTTCATTAGATCACCACTACTTAAATAGGTGGATATGCTTATTTAGTATAGCTTTTTGTTGTTAGCATTAAATATAAGGCCTAGGGTCCCAAATTTCTACAAATAGCGTGATCAAGTTATGGCAGGAACCAAACACTAGGCTTATCCTATATTATACATATATAGTTCATCGATCACCACTAAGTATAGTTAATGCTATTTCTATCTTCTCTCATTAAGTCGTATCACCCAGATTATTTCTAGCCTTTAGATAATAGATCTATAGTTCAAACTGTGTCTTCTTTCTTCTCTCATAATACCATGCAATCTCAATTATTTTTAGGCTTAAAATTCATAAGTATCAATTTGTTTTAGTTTTAATAATCATATTGCATCTTATTTGTGCATATTATGCAACTTAATTTCCTGCAGCAACGAGGCTGAATATTCATCTAGTTAGGTTAAAAGTAGATGCCACACCTTCATGCCTGGTGCAAGATCAAACGTGATGAGTGCGACAATGCTTATAAGGGGATGTAGATCCTTGCATCAGCCTGAATCGCCTAAGTTGCGTTTGAGAAGAAGGAAGGATCACGAGCGATTGGCATTGGAACTGCATGCGACCTCGTGGGGGCACACGGCATGATTTGCGGAGGTGCGTGCATTTGTTGGGGGGAGGGGTGCAGGAGATTATGCGGCCGCTGACCGCCGTGCGTCCGAGCACGATTAAGAGTCGGAGAAGTGTTCGGGCAACGATCAGTGTTACGCATTCGATAAGATTTTTTTTAGGGGGGTGGAATGTGAGTGGGATTAGGCCTCATTTGCGCGAAGAATCATGCATCGTGATCTTGAGCGCAGAATGCAATGTACCGTAGGTAAAAGAAAACGATCCACGAAGAGGAAAGAGATCAATCGAACTTTCTAGAAAACTGTGATCGATGATGCAAGCGGCAGATAGAGATAGTGTTGTTTCGATGTTGGTCATCCACATGTCCACATGTGACATGAATTGTCTGTTTTGGATCTAAAAATCTTTTAACGGTCGTTATCTTTTCTTTGTTTATCTCCGTTAGTACTTTGTTCAAAGACTAATTTATCCTCTCAAAAGAAAAGAAAAGGTAAATTTTCCTTTGACCACCTTTTATTACGGATATTCTGCTTCGGATTACCCATTAACCAATATTTTTAATTGAACCGGGTATTTTACCTTTGCACCACTTTAAACCATTCTCAACTTTTTTTTATTCATTTACATACAACTTGTTGAATGAAAAAAATGTCTCATACATAACTGTGAGAATTTTATTGTTAAATAGGAGCCGAGGTATCTGACATTGTTCATTGCTTAAGAAAAAAGTTGGGTGGTCCAATCCAAAGCGAAAACACGAGTTGAATGGTGATCCAAATAAAACATGGGCAATAAAATGTAGGACACAACTACACCGAGAGTGCTAGCTGGATAGTGCTAAAGAGAGACACCCTTCTTTCAAAAAAAAAAAGCTACTAGTACACTCAATATCTATGTATTTTTTTCTTAGAGAATTTTCTCTTAAATTACTCATCCGATTTATAATCCGATTACACCGTTGTATTCATAACAATTAAATCTTTACAACAAGATCTCACATGATTATATTTTGATGAAAAATCATAAATTACTTTTATGATATATCTAAATTACTTCTAAATTTCACTAAGTTACTTCTTAGACATATAAAAAGTAAATTCAGTAAAGCTTAAAAGTAATTTACATATATTATAGAAATATATTATAGAAGTAACTTATAACAAAAGAAAAGTAACTTTAATTTACAACTATATCTAGATTCATTAACATCTATATGAATATGGGTAATGCTAAAATGACTTACATTATGAAAAGGGGGGAGTAACTCTCTGTAGTAGAAATAATTATATTGTGAGTGAGCTGAAATAAGAAACTATGTAGAGTAAATTCGCAAGTAAAGTGTAGAGAAGATTTATAAAGTCCACAGAATATAGAATTAACTAAAAACAATAATAAAAATAATCAACTTAGAGCATTATGAATTATGAATGTATAGGAGTAATTTAGTCAAATCTAAAAGTAACTTATATATATATATGATAAAAGTAACTTACGTATATAATAAAAGTAATTTATAAATATAAATATTTTTTCATCGTAATATAATCATGTAAGATCTTGTTGTAAAGATTTAATTGCAACAAACGTAACGGTGTAATCAGATTGTAGATCGGATAAGTAATTTGAGAGAAAATTCTATAAAAAGAAAAAAAAATAGAATGCATTGTGTGTACTTGTAACAACGGGACCTTTTCTCACGTAACTGTACTAGTAGCACAGGACCTTCTCTCATGTACTAGTAGCACTAGACCTTCTCTCACGAATGAGTGCGTTGCTCTTTAACACTAAATCTAGAGCGCTATCGGTTTAGATTTTGCGTAAAATGTAGCAAAAAAAAAGAATATTTGTGTTTAAAAAAAGAAAAAAAGGAAATAGTCGTGCGGCGGTGTTTCCCCTTCTTCCTCTCGGCGGCGACGCCGACTCCTCGTGAGTTCGTCCGCCGCCGCCGCCGCCACCACCTGCACCGATCCCCATCCATCCCGCGAGCGAGTAGGGGCGCGCGTCGGTTGTCCGGCTGCTTCCGCGGTATCCTGGTGAGAATCCATCCATGGCTACGCACGTCCACTTTCTCAGCTCTCTCTCTCCGCGTACCCTTTTTTCTTCTCGAATTTGCGTTAACCCTAGCTGCTGTTCTACAAATTTGCCTTAAGTTTGTTCTCAAAATGTTCGGGGGAGTTCAACTGAACCTCCATTTTCCCATGTTAGATCCGCCACTGTTTCGTAGTGATCAAAATGACGGTGAAACCGATGTGCATCCTGGCTTCTTCTTTTGTTTTATTTACATGTGAGTTTTGATTGATTTTGCTCAGCCTGGAGGTCCAAATATTTAGTACTGATCAATCCCAAATTCCCAATTGATTTTATCTGTAATGTGCTAGATGATCTCGGAGAAGAGGATTGATTTTGTCTGATCAGGTGTTTAATTTGGCACCAGAGTGGGATCTAGGAAGTGGTGGGAAATGGAGAAGCCGTTACAGCTTTGTCCAGGGTCAGTGAAGATAGATTTTGCCTCTGCCTCGTATGCTGGCAAGGCAGATATCGCTGCTACCGCGGCAGCGCTCTTGCATGCGCTTGGGCCGCCCCGAACACCTCCCTGCTATCAGCTCCCACTGGCAAAAGTAAATTCATCACTGCCACTATGGCCTCCAGTGATATGCCCTTCAACATTTGCCCAGAAGCGTCCTATGTCATTGCCTAGCCCACCTCCGGCCAAGAAGCTGCAAGTGCAGCAGTCTTCATCCATGCTGCCACAAGATTTTCCAAAGTTAGAGGTATTGCCAGTTGAAAAGCCCACAAAGTTGCAGGTGCGGCGGTCACCGCAACATGTATCCCCAGCGCTGAAGCAAGATTCACCGAAGATGGAGAGGCCATTGTTGCCAAGGCCTGCAACCTTTATTGACGTGTGAGTTCTCCATTTCTTGGAATAGTGAGATGGAATGCTTTGTTGAAGAAATTGAAATTGATAACTTCATATTTGTGATAGTATGATGCATACCTTTAAAGTTTTATAATTCACTGTTTGCCATTGTTTGCACTAATGCATATATGAGTTTCTTGGATTAATTGAGAAAATTAGGAGAACAGATAATGAATATGTTTCACATGGTACGTAACTGAGTTTTCCATTTGCTAGTTTACCTTTTCTTAGAGCAAGAATTGGATGGAGCACTTTACTAAAGGAGGTAAATTGTCTTCTTTTCTGTCTCTTCAGGATGCTGAGTTCTCAAAAGCCATCTAGCGAAATGTGGTCTGAAACAAAAGATGTGACACTGACAAGGAAAACAAACTGCAGCTGCAAGTATTCGAAATGCCTGAAGCTGTAGGTTCCATAATAAATTTCCTCCAATTGCTGCGTAAGAATTGTTTTTCCATATAATTTTTTTCCTATTTGATAAATATAAAACAAGTTGTTACTATTTTTTTAGAACTTTGGCGCTGCTTTTATTGCTTTGTAGAATTTTTGTTAGAAATATTATGTCAGTAGACACTCTTCAACCACAAAGTTTAGAATACATGTTCTTGTGTGAAATTAATAACCGTTAGTTGGATTTCATGTTGGTTGAAAGTTGTTTTTTGCAAGCTATCTCTTCTTTTCCCTTCCTACCTGTTTCTCTGAACGCTTGTTGCAACCTATTTCTCTGAAGGTTTGTTGCAATTATGAGATGCTGCATTTAACTTTTGCATGCTTCCATCATTGATCAATTTCCTTCCTACCTGCAAAGCCTTTTTTTTTTTGTTGCGAGGAATTTACACTTGCAAGGTTAATGGCCCTAGGCTTTTTTAGTAATAACCAGAGCCAATGACCTGGTTTCGTTTGTAACCATAATCACACATTCACACATACTAGTCTTTTGGTTTGCCTGAATTTGTAGGTATTGTGAGTGCTTTGAAAAAGGCAGATACTGCATTGGTTGCAATTGCACAAACTGTTGCAACAATGTTAATCATGAGAATGCAAGACAGGATGCTATCAATGTTGCATTGGAACGGAATCCTGCAGCTTTTATGCCAAAAGTTTTGAATAGCACAGCCCACAACTGTGAGGTAGGGCATGATGTATCTTATTGCAAGATGGCATGTTTTCTCTGTTCAGATTCTAATTCTCTAGTAGCTAGCCTATAAGCCTTAGTTATCCATATCATTTTTGGGTTAATTGTTTGCCTGTTCAGTTTGTTCATGAGCAAAAGGTATAATAAAGGACGATTTCACACTAGGTTGTGAACAGTATAAACACCGGCTTTTAACCAAACCTGGTGGGTACCACCATACCAAAATAAATGTATAATGTGTATATACCCTCTCTGTTAAGACCCAAACCCCCCCTCCCCCCTCCCCCCCCCCCCCCCCCGCCCCATGAATTATTGTAAAATACCACTAGGCTTGCCATTTCATATCTCTTAAGTTAAGCGTGCATGTCGTCACTTTACAATTTGGAAGTTCAAAATACCTGAGAGCATGCTACGTTTTTTCACCAAGAAACTGAAATGAAACTGGCACCCTCAAGTTTTGAGACTTAGTTGGTGTCCTAAACTCTCACAGTTAACGATGCAGATATTATTTTCCAGGGACTGAAATTCATACATTGTTATGTCATTAGACAAAGTTTCATGTCTACAAGTCAGTTAGATGTTGTTTCCTTGGATTCTATTTTTGAATATTCTTTGAGGTTCAGAGCAACAGCGACACAAAATGCATTGTAATGGTCATCTAGAACTTACAGGTCTTTTCCATTGCTAGAAATTAATTTATTGTCATGATATTATTACCACTTTATTTTGTTTTTCTTGGTACTTTTCCTATGATTCAATCAGATTGGCTAAGTTTGAGTGCAGTCATATTTTAGCAGTTAACCAGTCATTGGGTGCAAAAAGCCCATGTCAAGATTTAAGGCAAAGTTTCTCATATGAAGAACCAATGAGATGTTCAGCTGCGTACTTGTATAACATATGCTTCCATGATGTGTATGAAACTCATTCTATCTTTCAATTCCAGAGCAAAGCAGCAGAGGGTGATATTGTGGGTAAACATACAAAGGGGTGTAAATGCAAGAGAACAGAGTGTCTGAAGAAATACTGTGAATGCTTCAAAGCTAGTGTTTTCTGTTCAGAGAACTGCAGATGTACGGGTTGCAAGAATTACAAGAGTAATGCAGATAGAATTTCCCAGAAGAACACTGTTCATGCGCATCATGTGCAGAATCCTGCTTCAAGTGGGATGGTTGGACAATCTGTGATAATTTTCCATGCAGCAGAAAATGACTCCAGTCTTTCATTGGCTGCATCTGTGAGCGATCATTCCATTAACAACAACACTTCACATGTAATTCTTTTGCAGCATACTTTTCAAATTTGTCACGGGCCCTGCTTCCTGATAGGCTGATACTTAATGTACAACACAATTTAAGGCTATCTACTGCAGCAATCTGGATAAGTGATGATAGTTGATTAGAGAATAATGCTTTTGTGTATAAAACAAAATAATCCTTCTGAGCAATCAAATGGCTTTTTACTAAACCTCAATCCATTCAATTAGCAAGGGTGCATAAACAGAATCTGAAACTCTGTTTGTTGACATGCCTCCTTGTTAGCTCCATTTCAGGCTCTTTCGTGTTCACTCACTTCTTCTGTTACTAGAGAAGATGCTAAAAGTCTCGTAAAATATGTACCACATGAAGTTACTTACAGGTGAAAATTTTCTCATGGTCATAATGGTTTTCTCTGTTGTACTTCTTTCATTCTACTGTATAACATATATTTCATTTTTTAAGGCCAAGTTTAGCAGACATCATCCAGATAGAAGATGTAAATGAGCTCTGTAATCTTTTAATTCTAGTGTCAAGACAAGCTGGCGCAACACTTTTAGGTATTTTTCTCTCTAAAAAACAATACTAGCGATGAGTTATTCATATTACAGTTGCTACAATATACTCTTCTATGACAATGGAATTCAACCTCTGGCTATATTTTACATGCATTTTTATTTACCACTGAATGTTGGGAACAAAACAATATGTTGGATCTTCTCAGATGGGAATTGCTTTGTTGCTCCTTTAGAGAATTTAATAAGAGTGTCAACTGGAGTGTAGGGGTGAAGAAATTGCCAAGCCATCAATTGACAACTGGCCATCTCTCTTGTGTAGGCATTAAAAGAGCACAAATCAAGTATGATAGAGCAAATATTATTGAATAAAATACTGGGACTGGTCCATCTGGTTATATTACAATATAGCCATCAGAGATTGAGATTATCTAGCCATGTTTGTATATCTGGTATAACAGAATTTTTCCCTATGCATAACCATGGAAAATTCATGTTTGAACCTTCAAAAGATGAAAATTATATCATTACAGGTCATCGAAATACCCCAGAAAGAAATGATAATGACTTTCATGTAGAAGGCAATATAGCCTTTATTTGTAACCACATATAATATGTTTAATCATTTAGTGTTTTTTATTTTTTGGGGTAAAATCATCTAGTGTTCTTGTCATTATGATCTACTAGATAACCTGTTGAGCATATTGGTGAAATGCCTCCAGCTATCCCCTTACTATCCACAAGGCTTGGGTGGATAATGTACTCTTCTCTAACCGAGCAAAGGAGCCAGAATAGTCTTGCTCTAAGTTGGGAGTTTACACCAGATGGATTTCTTTTCTTGTGGGAAATAAATATCAAACTATAAGTTATTTTTTCTTGTGTGGAATACCTAAGCATTTCTCAATTGGATATTGAAACTGTGCTTATATTCTCTCTTTTTTCTCAAGAAAAAAAATATGTTTATATCTGAAAATATCAAAATTACAATTTCTTCACTGGAACTCCTTATCTTTTTATGGTCTTGGATGTTGACTTGGTGATAAATTGCACGTCCACAACCCTCATGTCCACATATTTGACATATATCAATGCATATATCATGTTAAGTATGACACATGTGCTTGTTCTTTTTCCTTGTTTCTCTACCAAATGGCATCATGTAGCCATACGATTTGACGTGGTTGTGGTATCCAGCTAATGTAGTAATTAACAATTACATCAGCATCAGTTGTCATGCTTAGTTGAATATATATGTGGGGAATAATGCTTCCATCAGAATATACAGCCATTTGCATAGTGGTAGATCACAAAACTATGGTGATTGCATTTTGGTTTAGTTCTGCACTCTTCTTAAAAATCTAATACGCATACACGCTTCATCCTGTGTATTCTTACTAAGTTCAAACATGTTAGTTTGTGATCATCACGCTGATACCAAATCCAGCCAACTTGGGCATGTGTTATCTGCCTTTTGATATCTGAATTCATCCTTTATCCATATCTGAATAATCTTCACCAACATTTTACATGTCAGATACTCGTGGTTCATACCCATTGAATCACTAAATTCCCATCTTTACTACTAGAAATCTCTAAACGATTGCAGTACGGCATTTCATCGCAGTATTGATGCTCACTACGTTGTGAATATGCATCTTACCATGTTATATTTCATCTTAAAGTTACTAATATTTCAGAGTCAGGAATGAAGGAAAACACCAAGAGAAAAAAGTTAAATCGAGTAGATAGTTGCCTTTCTTCCACAAACCATGATAGAGAAGCAATTCAGAAAGAACCAGCTAAACAAATGTGTTCACTGGAGAAGAGCTCAAACGAAGTTCTTATTGCTGAAGGTAGGCTGGAATTGCCAAGAGCCGACCCTTTTGATATACAGAAGGGTAACAAGAGGCCTCTGTCTCCTGGAACCCAGGCACTGATGTGTGATGAGCAAGATGCAGTTTTCCAGGATTCAAAAGCTCCAGATGCAACCCCCTCAACCACAGAAGAGAATCTGGTAGACATTTTCAAAGAGCAAGAGAAGCGTGTATTGACAAATTTCCGTGACTACCTTTGTAAGCTTGCGACCTGCGGAAAATTGCAAGGTGAGTCTTTGTATGCACTCATTTGGTAACGTAAATGCAAAACTAGTTTTAAATGAGATACTGAAACCATCTAACATAACTTTGCAACTTTCCGACTCTTCATTCCTATCAGTGTTTATGCACACATAAACACCAAGATAACTGTGCTTCCTTGTCACAGAACTGAAGCTCTCTTTGGCATCAACAAATTGCAGCGAACAAGCCTTTGCCGACCACGGTAACAATTCCTCCATAACAAGGGTTGCGAAGGTAACCAGGATCAGACAAACAATCCCTCAGTTCTCCAGCAAGGCGGCAAGCACTACCGCTCTGGACGTCTGATCCTTGCTCGGACCAAAATCGGCAATGCTGGCATTTGGAAACTTATGGGGCAGAAGAGCCCTTTGCACAATGGCGTCGACAAGTGCTGAGTGCATGGGCAAACCTGACGATACCTCCAGTGGCGCTATCACAACTTGATTGGCAACTCTGGTATAAATTGATTTGGGCCCTTTCTTGGGTACTACATTTTCCCACTGCCTTGCCATGTAAACTCTCGGTGACGACATGAGCGGTTCTGTTCATCTTCCAACGTAATCAGTCGAATTGCCCTTTTTCCCTACTATCAGAGTTCATGAATCCATGGAACGGCTGAATTGACAGGATTGAACAGAACGTGCTAGTGGTGATGGCATTTGACAAGGAAGTAGTATTGCATATCTTTTTCTGAGCAAGATTTTTATTAGCTAGTTACCCATCTGCTTCTCATGATCTTTAGCACCCAAAGGGCACTCATGATTACAATTTCAGTTGACAAAGAACATGGCGTGCCAACGTATTTGATTAGCATATTATTACAATTTCATACCAGGTATAAAGTAACTACACTTTCCTGCATATGCCATGTTCTTTGTCAAATACCTGGTGCTTGCCTGTTATACGTTTTAGCACTATGTATACTAGTAATATGCCCGTGCTAAACGCTACGGTGCAATTCCATTGTCTTTAATAACTTTTAAAATTTCATGTTGGGAAAAAAATTTATATGATATGTTCACCGTATCGGCTCACCTTTCTACATTTTTCCCCTCCCTGTTAATATTTACCTCTGTATCTGTCCGGCTTCAATTTTTTCCCCGGTACAATCAGGCTGTGGAGCTGTGTTCTCTAGAAAGAAATCCCTCCTTCCACATGTAAAATGGAACGATGAATTAACACAATTAGCTAAAAAAACTTTAAAAATGGATAAGATCATATTACTATATGCCCCGTCTAATAGTTTAGGAAGCGTGCACGCAGGACCTTTCAACGACAAAGAGACAACGTGAGTGCAATTTGGAGAGACGGCGGCAGTGACGCTTTAAGCAGCCGCACGTTGCTGGAGATCGGCATGAGGGATGGTGGCGGCAACTACAGATTGTCTTCTGACCATCAAATTAAATATGAATAACTCGTCATCTCTTTGAAACAAAGGGCGCTTCCGGTTCTGTGCGTGCTTCAAACCACTTTGTATTCTCCATATTACCATATCTATAGAGTCTAATTTTCAATGAGGAACTACTGAGTTCAAATGCGAAGACGGTATAATAATACGCTATGACAACAGTGCTGCGGTTATCATTGATAAAAAGGGAATCCAAATGGAACTTGCGTTTTTGGCGCAATGGCCGAGGAATTGAGAGAATTGAATTTTACTAAAATAGTTTCATAAGCTCATGAAGTATTAACAATAACAAAAGGGAAATTTGAGCCTTCTTTGTTGTACTTGCTAATTCAATGCAAACACATATAAGCTGTAACAGATGGTTTCATATTTGAGCCTTTTTTGCTGTACAAGCTCATTGCCTGTAACAAATGCTCATTGTTGGAAAATAAGAGAGCAGATCAATCTAGAAGTCAGCTCCTCCTCTAGTTGCCAAGCTGCAAACGCATGTGAATGGAAAAAAACAACACAGTGGGTAAGTTAGGAGAAGGTGACTTTTTCTCTTTTTCTGAAGGTTGGAGCTCTGCCATTATATTAAGAAGTTGGTTTCAGACTACAATTCAAGGATATTACATGGAACAAAAAGCAACTGAGCTTTCACCATAAACTCCATTGCATAGCGAATATAGTTGGCCAGTTTATTTTTTGTTAAATTTCCTGCAGATAGAACCTTGTGGTGTACAAAAACCGATCCAAAGAACATCTGCCTGGGTTCATCTGGTGCCCAACATAGTTCTTTCGAAATTGTTACAGGTCATTGAATGATGACATGAGCACTGATTGCAGCTATCGATGCCTCAAAAAATCCTAAGCTATTATTAGAGGGGCATCAAGCATACAGAGTTATCTTGAAAGGAGAGGCTAAGTGGCTATGGAGAAGAGAAATTCCACTGACCGCTTCTTCATCGTCAATTTCCAGCCGCCGCTGGCCTTCGTGAGCCATTTTGCCGCTTCGCCCACAGTTGTCCAGCAAGAACTCAACTGCTGGGCGCTACCAGTCGTCGCACAACCATCTCAGTCGGAAGCGCTGGGTTGCTTCTAACTAAAATTACTAAAGAAAATCCGGTCATGAATTTCACAACTTGAAGTCCATGTGAAAGAGGCCAAATCAGTATGGTCTTTATATTTATTCTTTGCCTTCATAATACACTGGAGAGTTGAGCATGACGATATTAACTAAATGAGCCTTGATCATCTGGGCATGGTATGCTTATTATATAAGATAAAAAAAATGTTCTTTAATTACAACTATCTACATATCTCTATGTCTACTTGGGTAACACGCAGCATTCTAGCTGAACAATATCCTTCCAAGCTCAAACCATTTGTTCAGAAAGGACGAATGAAAATAATTTGTTCCTTAATATATCTATTTTCTCATGATCAAGAGCAACTTTAATATTTATGTTGAAATCGATTACCAGATAATAACCTGCAGCGCATCTAAAGGTAAAATGGGTTTCATAACGTCAAAAGATATCGGGTATGGAAATATTTCACCCAAACATTCTGATGAAATGAGGATCTACCTTTGTCATCCATATTGGCACAAAGAAAAATGTTACTGTATCAAGCATTTTACAGAAGTAAGCAATGGCCAAGAAGTAGATGCCTCACCTCTAGCTGCCCTCTACCTGCAACAGCATACAGCACGGTGGATCCACGGAAGTCGAGATACTCCGACACGTCGGAGCGACGCTCGATGAGCTCCCTCAGCATCTCCACGCTGCCGCCCCCCGCGGCGGCGTGGACTGCCCTACTCATCATTTCCAGCCAGAACACCGAGGAGCAGCCACCACCGCTCCTGCGCCTTCCCCGTTGGGACAATTCGTCGAGCACCTCGGCGACATGGCGTGGTCCAGCAGCAGCTTGAACACCTCGGCGTTCCCGCCCCTCGCGGCGGCGTAGAACATGTCCATCACGCCATGCTCGCCCTCGCCAAACACCAGCAAGGGATCCCTGTCCATAAGCTCCTGCACGAACGCCATGTCCCCCGCCGACGCCGCCGAGTAGAGCAGCCACCCACCGTAGCCCGCCCGGAGCAGCGTGTTCTCGGCGGCGGCGCTGTTCTTGCACTCACACTCCAGCAGAGCCGCGCAAGGGTTAAACTCGTCGGGAGCAGTGCAGATCGAGGGGGATCGGGGGCGGCGCCGCCGATGATGGGGACCGGCGATGCGGGCTGACCGGGGGCGGCACCGCCGATGATGGGGACCGGCGATACGGGCTGACCGGGGGCGGCGCGAATGCAGACCGGCGACGCGGAAGCGAGGGATCCGGGTGGAGGGGGCGGTGATTTGCCAGGGGGAGGGGAAGCGATCCGGTCTGGATCGGATCGGATCGGGAGGTGCTCGAGAGAGGCGCGCGGTCGCGCGAATGCGGAGGAGGCGCGGTGATTGCGGCAGAGAGGGGGGTGTGGGACGCGCGCTGATCTGGGACGTTGGATCCAAAATCTTCAGATGGGTTTCGACCGTTGGATATGTGATATGATGAATGAGTAAAACTATTTGTTCAACTATAGGGTAGATACATACCGAGCATCTCACAAGCTACTATTATTGATATGAACACGAAATTGTAATCACATGCGAAATACGTTGGTTTTTTTAAGTTACAGAAAATTGCTAATCGTTATTTTAGTATTTTGAAGTTAAATTAAAAAAAAATAAATTGAGAGTAGTTTTTATAGATCTCCAGGATTTGCCGGCCCATCCTTCGAAGATGCTCATAGGGGTAGGGTTTGCGTGCACGCATTCATAGGGGTGAGTGTGCATGCGTTGTGAGTGTCTGTGTTGTACCGTGTAATTCTTAAAAAAAAAATCGTGTTAAGAACTTAAGAGCAAAAAGTTTTGCAATCATATAAAGATGACATCATTCTAGACAATAAGGTTAAACTATTGAATTGTATCATATGTGAAATACGTTGGTTTTTTTAAGTTATAGAAAGTTGCTAATCGTTATTTTAGTATTCTGAAGTTAAATTAAAAATAAAATTGAGAGTAGGTCTTATAACCTGTAGCTAAATTTTATCGTGTTAAGAACTTAACAACAAAAGTTTCCCAATCGTAATAAGATAGCATCATTTTAGACAATAAGGTTAAATTATTGAATTGTGTGAACTATAGTTATAACTAATATAATTTGAAGACGTCTAGCAATATTTGAGAAGAAAAAGACGAATAAGTAAAATGCAGGCTTACATTAATATACTCGCTCAATCTTTACAAATACTTTTAATCACTATATCTACTACATATAAAATTATTACATTCTCCATTTATTGAATCAAATAATACTATTAGCAAATCAAACCAGCTCAGGCTTTGGTCGTTGGTAAAAAACGTTTTTTTACTAGTCTGGCTTCGGCTTCCTGACCAGCGGTAGCGCTAGCTTGGTGAGTATCTGTCCCTTCAATTGAGGACAAATTTAACTATTAGGTGGCAACCCTCTAAACGCCCGATTAGTGCCTCTCTCTCCCTCTTCATCTCACCATACTACCCCCTTCATGCTGGTCGTCTCAATCTTATAGCCACCTCGCTAGCCGTTGTAGATTGGTAGCCACCCTACCAATTGCCGGAAGCCTCCCTGTTACCATGCCTGCTCATTGTTGGAGGAGCTCTAGCACAAGGTAAGCGTTGAGGCCAAATAACTCGCCAGGCGATAAGAGGAAGTTTGGTGCAGGAGGAGTCCCCACTTAGAAGTGGAGGTATTTTTTTAATAACAATGGGTCTCCAAGGACAACAGTTGTGAAGAGAGACCTAGGCGGCAGAGGAACTAGAGGGCGTAGGGTTCCCCAGGTTAGGATGTGACGTCAAGCTCGTCGCCACCCAAGTTCCAAGATGCACACCTTGTCTTTGTCGAGCTCAAGCGGTCACCTCATCGTCAGGGTTGACGCCCTCCTTCATGTTAGAGCTAGTTTGACAACTAGCGGGTACAACGATAGGGACTTTGCTATGATTAAGGTGGCTGTTAGGCTTTAACAGCTAGCGAAGAAATGAAATATAAAGAAATTGCTAACCTTGCTATGCTAGCGGGCCATGTAGATAAAAGTATAACAAACCACCTTTATTGGATGATAATTTTGTGAAGACAAAATTAAAAGGAGGCATTTAGCTCCCTCTATCAAAATCCTCTTGCTTAAGATCGGAGAGACGTGGTCGCTGACACGTGGGCCCGATGGCAATGGGCTCCACGTGTCAGTGAGACAAATGACTACTCTCCCAACCCCGTCCCCGTCCCTCCCCTACTCTCTCGCCTTCTGTTCCTCCCCCTCTCCCTTCCAACTTCCCAAGCGCGCGCGGGGAGACGATCGGCGACGGCGACGGCGAGGCGGAATGGACAGCGGGAACGTGGTGGTGTGCGACAACGGCACCGGGGTAAGCCCGCCCTCCCCCCCTCCTCCCGCAGCCTGATCCCTGATCCAGCGTGGCGACCTCCCTCCCTCCCTCTCTACCTCCACGCTCCTGCCCCTAGATCTGCACCCCCTCCGTCCCGGTTCTTCTTCTTGGACGGTTTCTTGGATTTCTTCTGAAATTTCCTGAATATATACGATAGGATTGTTTCTCTCTCTTTGGTTGGGGAGTAATTAGCATCTGTGCTCTAGATTCATTTGTGCCGAATAAGTTTTGCTGCTTACTACTGAGCTGTAATTAATCTAGGATGAAATGATACGTGTGCACATTGCAAGAAATTGAAGGGGGAAATTGCTCTAGTATGGTGGAATTATTGTTCTCCACATAGGCAGGAAAAATTGCTGTAATACGATGAGATTATTGTTCTCTGTTGAATCTTTAGATAATGTCCTTCCAAATGCGGAACTGGAATAGATAATGTTCATTCATATAAACCACATTAGTTTGATATTTTGCGGTCCAAAAGAAATTATGCTGTTGTCTTTGGCTTAGTTTCTGTTAAGTATTTTCCACATCATTCCTGTGGCTTGATGTTCGATATGCTTAAAGCCTTAAACAACAGCAGAACATATCATATTCATAGGTGATCTTGTTAATTTCTAATTCGGTACCTAATGGCTAATGTTGCAGTATGTAAAGTGTGGCTTTGCGGGAGAGAACTTCCCTACATCTGTGTTCCCTTGTGTTGTTGGGCGACCATTGCTCCGTTATGAGGAGTCACTCCAGGAGCAGGAATTGACGGTCTGAAATCAATGTCTATCTTTGTGTTTCTGGCATTCCCTCATTCTGTCTCTCTCTCAGTACACCTTATAATTGTGATTGTGTTCCACGCAGGATATTGTGGTTGGAGCGGCTTGTGCTGACTTGAGGCATCAACTTGACGTATCATATCCTGTTACAAATGGGATTGTTCAAAGTTGGGATGATATGGGCCATATATGGGATCATGCATTTTACAGTGAGCTGAAAGTATGACTTTTCATATGATTTATATTACTTTAACATCAGACCCTTTTAAATTTATATGCTCATAATTCATCAACATTCTCCGTTATGTGTCTTGAAATCTCTTAGCTCTAGGTAAATCAATGTATTTCTATTTTGTTTCTTTAGGTTGATCCTTCTGAGTGTAAAATTCTACTGACAGATCCACCACTCAATCCTGTGAAAAATCGTGAAAAAATGGTAGGTTGTTTTCTCCCATCTGGCTGTTCTGTACTATGAAATTTGTTTTTTAAGATATCACTAACTAGCAAATTGAATCCTACGATAAATAGATTGAGACAATGTTTGAGAAATACAACTTTGCTGGGGTATTCATCCAGGTCCAAGCTGTTCTTTCGCTATATGCTCAAGGTACTCTCTCTCTCTCTCTCCCCTTCCCCCCCTCTCAGTATACAGACACATGTATGAGCTTGCACACCTACAAACACAAAATGTACTGGTTCTTTTCTTAACATGTATTATGTTTGTATCCTTTCCAGGTTTGCTGACTGGACTTGTCATAGACTCTGGTGATGGTGTCACTCATGTGGTATGATAATAATAGTCTTCCCTATATTGTACAATCTACAAAGATTTGAAATGCAGAGATTCCATTTCTGTTAATCTTGTGGTGCACTACAAAAATATCTATCTGATGCATGTTTATAATTTTCTACTGTGCTAATGGGTATTCCTCAACTCAACAACTAAGAGGATCTACCTTTTTTTGTTGATCCAGTGAAGATGTATGACCAAGACTATATGCATACCTTGTTTCCTTGTAGGCGGCTTAGTAGAAATCACAGCCATTGAACACCATAATCTATGATTTCTGGTCAAAATGTCGATCATGGAAATAAAATGATAATTTAAACTATACTCCATAGTCCATAGTTAGTATGGCATGCTAGTGCCCGTTTAGTTATTCTCGCACATAGCCAGTTAACATTGTAAGGTTATCACCAACGTGTGTAGTAAGTAGTAAGCACAAAAAGTTAAGCAATTGAATACTGACTATTGTCAATTTGCAATGTGAAAGAAAGTTTTATCTAGATTTACTTTTGCCCGTCATGTTTATTATGATCCAGGTGCCGGTAGTTGATGGATTCTCTTACCCACATATTACAAAAAGAATGAATGTAGCTGGAAGGCACATAACATCTTATCTTGTTGATCTACTCTCAAGAAGAGGGTAATACTCTTTATCATTTTTATATGTTTGTAGATAAAAGATGCTCTGAAAACACAGGCTTATGCAATTGTTTGCTTCAGTGTTTTTCTTATCAACTTAATTTCGTGCTTTAAAGGTATGCTATGAACAAATCTGCCGACTTTGAAACAGTCCGGGAAATAAAAGAGAAACTATGTTATTTAAGGTCAGTTGCTTTATTGTTCTTAATTGTTTTCGCTATAGCTTGCTGTCACATTTCATAGAATTGAAAAGGGAAAATATGTACAGCTATGATTACAAGCGTGAATACCAGCTAGGACTTGAAACCACTATCCTTGTCAAAAGCTACACTGTAAGTATGTTAACCTGCTTTGTTTCTATTTGGTCCCTTTTTGTATTATTGGCTGAACTTTTGTCATCAGCTTCCAGATGGAAGGGTAATCAAAGTGGGCACTGAACGGTTTCAAGCTCCTGAGGCTCTTTTTACTCCTGTAAGCTTGTACTCATACTATTCTTTCATAGCTTGCTGATATACATTAAGGCATGCATTTCTCTGTTAGGATCAGTACCAACATAACATTGATAAAACATTTGTTGAGCAGGAACTCATAGATGTTGAGGGTGATGGAATGGCAGATATGGCGTTCCGTTGCATTCAAGAAATGGACATCGACAACCGGATGACAGTATACAGCTTACCCATACAATATGCTATATTTTGTTGCTCCAATCTTTTCACTTGCTTTTGTTTATCTTCAAGTATTTATTTGTAACATTGTTGATGAATTGATGAGTTAGATATAGAACCTCTGTAGTCTTCAATTGAAATTTCGAAGGCACACTTTGAATTCAACTACACATGGCTTGTCTAGTGAATTTGTGCATAAGATAATCTTTGATAATTTAGGATTACTTTGTTTTGTTATTTGGTAGCAACTTGATAAGACCATGGTTTTGCATAAAAAATCCACTTACATATATACATGATTTTTATGTTGTTGTCTTAAATTAGAACTTGCACAGGTAAACACCATAAGTTGAATTACTGTCAAATGCTGAACACACTTCCAAATGTTGATAATTTTTCATATTTAGTACATGTGTATGTGTTAATGTAAATTAAGTCAAGAAGGGACAAATAAATGCCAGTTATGTTAGTCTCTATACTTGATTAATTGTATTTTAAGTTGTTATGAAGTACTTCTAGATAAGCATTGGATCATGTGTTCTTCTCTCATTGGATGTCTGGATAACATCTTGCAGCTTTATCAACATATTGTCCTGAGTGGGGGAAGTACCATGTATCCTGGTCTGCCAAGTCGGTAAGATTTGACAAACATATCCCGCTCTGTCTTCTTTTGTTTACTACAGTACATATTAACGATTAGTTTCAAACAACACTATTTTTACACTGAAGCTCACATCATTTTTGGTGGTCTATGCCACTCTGATTTTTTGCCTGTTCTATTTCTTACCAATGTATGTGTTTAGCTGTTTTTATAAGCTTCAATATTGGGTATGACTTAACACATTACAACATTTTTGAAGACTAGAGAAGGAAATGCTTGATCGCTATCTTGATGTGGTTCTGAAGGGAAACAAAGATGGACTGAAGGTAATATTTTTTTGTGGTTATTTTGTAGCTGACAACAGTTGAAAATTTCATAAGCTTATTGAAATCAAACACAAGGAAATTCCCAAGTTTTTTTTCCAGTGCAACACATTTTCTTATTCAATAATGGATGTTGTCTTTTCAGTAAGGAATGTGACCATTTTCACTTCTGTCTATGTGCAGAAATTGCGTTTGCGGATAGAGGATCCGCCACGGAGAAAACACATGGTTTACCTGGGTGGTGCAGTACTCGCTGGAATCATGAAGGTAATATACTTTTCCCACAGCGTTATATATCTATCGGTTATTATAAGCAAAGCCTTGGGACAAAGTAGAGAGGTGAACAGAAAAGGAGCACAAAAGATGAAATCATGCATTACTGTGTGTGCATTGTCGCATGGGAATCTGCTCATTTTGCTTTATTACTTTGCTGACGGCTGTTCACCTAGCAGGATTCACCTGAATTCTGGATTACAAGGCAGGAATACCAGGAAGAAGGCCTTGCGTGCCTAAGGAAGTGTGGACAAGCATAGCCGTCGAGTATGTTCCTATGATCCTACCTAGATTCTCATCAACAGCAGATGTGAAAGGCTCTCTCATTCTGTTTGCAGGAGACAAAAAGGAAACCTATGTTTAGATGATGGATGCACATTACTTGTAGAAAGATGAGCACATAGTGTTGTTTGTTGTCCCTATTGTTCAGGATACTTGTTGGTGCATGTTGTAGCCTAGAAGCCACTATGAACACAAACTCACCATATAACCATGATGAGCAAACATTAGATATATTTCATTTTCTATTGGTAATATACCTATGAACACAACACATATTTCTACTTACTATATTATGTACTGGTGAGCTGATGCTCTTCATTTGGTCCCTGTACTGCTAGGGCAAATCAATTTACTGATAGGGAAAGTCAATTTACAACGAAGCCCTTAACATTAGAATTGCTTTGAGATTTGTGCGGATGGCATATATTTCAATGGATCGCAATATTGTATTCTTCTTTTTAGTATATCGTGAATCTTAACAAAACATCTAATTGTTCAGCATAGCACTTATATTGTAAAAATCATCTTCTCTACTGTTGTATGAAACTTTTTGCTGCCTATATTTATCTTCATCCAAGAAATCTGTGAGTTTCTTAATCAGCTGCAAACTTTTAGCAAGTTCTGTGCTTTAACTCAGCCCATTTAGGAAAGGTCATGTTCCATTTTCCAAAATTGTACTCTTTGCTCAAATATATTTTCTGAAATTGTTTCTTTTCCGTGTTTGGTAGAATTTGAATTATTTTCCGCATTTTAACACAAGATGTTTGGCAGAATTTGAATTGTTCACCGCATTTAACACGAAGATATTGTGCTAAATCAATAGTTAAATGCCTTGCATACGATGTTGCTCTTGGTGAACAACAATCCATTGTCCAATGATGTGCAAGCGGGGAATTCTGAATTTATGAGACGCAACCAAGCCAGGGTAGTGGCTCCAATGATTCAAAAATGTAAGGATTGCGGAAACCAGAATTGAATAACCAAAGGAATCCCAAAATTACAGAGTTCTAGTCCAATCTGAAACGAACGGTACCATCAAATTCCTCTGAATATGCGTGCCAGGATACCTCTTTTGCCTTTCTTCTTTTTTTCTTTTCGATCTTTTGCCTTCCTTTTTTTTTTTGATAGGAAAAGCTTTTATTAACTTAACGGCCTGGCTAAATTGCCATCCACCATACTCTCCATGCCCGTAGGCGTGCCGTCCCAGGAAAGGCCAGCATTCAGAGAGCACTTACAACCCAACTCCGCAAGGGCATGCGCCACACGATTACAAGATCTAGGGCAATACAAAGAAGCAAAGGAAGCAGCAATCACTCTTTTAATCTCAACGATGACGCCTTCCTTCCTTGATGATAGGGTGGTGATGGCAGATTATTAGAGTCTTTTAAAATGGTATAGCTTATTGAGGACACATATAAATGAATTAAATATTACAAAGTTGATAAGTTTACTTATTAAGACAAGTTCTTAAAAAATACTAATGAAGTTTCTGCAAAAACCACACCCAAGCATATTCGTGGTATTTTGGTGGACATAATCAAAACTTGCTCCCTCCATGTTTTTTTTAAATAATAGTCGGTCTTGACTTCAAAAATTTTGATTCGGTTTTGATTTATAGTTGCTCTTTGAACAACTATGTTTTTAAATAATCTAATTATTTAGCAACAAAGTTGTATATATTCGAATAAAAAGCATTTTACTAATATCTTACATTTGTACCTGTTCATTTTGATGTTGCTTAAACCTATTTGTAATAAAAAAAACTTGATCTCGTAGGAAGAAACCAACACTACTTTCTGTGAAATCACATACTCGCTTCAAAAATTTTAATTCGGTTTTTATTTATAGTTGCTCTGCTTTGAACAGCAATATTTTTAAATAATCTAATTATTTACCAACAAAGTTGTATAATTAGATTCGAATCAAAAGCATTTTACTAATATCTTACATTTAAACATATTCATTTTGATGTTGCTTAAACCTATTTGTAATAAAAAAAAAACTTGGATCTTGTAGGAACAAACCTACACTAGTTTCTGTGAAATAAAGTACTGACAGTCAAGAGATATCGCTGTTCTACAAAGACAGACTCAAACCTGAACCCTATCAGATGCCCTGTGCTGGGACAATATAACAAGAGATATCGCTGTTCTACGAAGACAGACTCAAACTTAACCCTATCAGATGCCCTGTGCTGGGACAATATAAACAAAGTCTTGAGCATCATCATGCAAATGAAGCCAACAACCATATCCATCTCCAGAAGCTCGATTGGTTCGCGAGAAATTTCAGCCGTGCAGTTTCTCCAAGTAGCCAATGCAAGCCTTTGAACCTGGGACATAGCCATACCTCGACTGGTAAAAAAGGAGAGTAAAAGAGATGCAGAAATTATTCACAACTGGCTTCATAGAATCTTTTTCACTCATGTGAACTTCAAAGTGAATATCTGAACTGCAGTAGGAAGAAGTAGCTTACCTTCAACTTCAAGTTTCTCCAAACACACCAAAGAATTACAATTTACTCATGTTAAATTGATGTACCTAGTATTATGGCCCACATCTTTAAGCGATCGTGCCTTTACAAAATCTGGCAACAATGCGACTTAGTTCTTCAACCTTTTCTCGCGTGTCCTTCTGGTAAGACGCACTCTTTTCAATTGCTCAATTACCAGGATGGATATTCCATTCGAGCTCTACTCAAGGGAAAGTCAAATGGAATATCTTGCCAATGGTGGCGGATCAACATAATTTGGAGGCTATGGTACAACTTGAACCAATCAAAAGAATGAACATATCATATCTTGCCAATGGTGGCGGATCACCTCTTGTAAGGCTTAATGTGATATGGTTTGAATTCTTCACCAAATTTTGCTGCTTCTTCATCAACCCTTTTCTTCAGCCTTCTCCAGGTCCTCAACATGTCTGCTTGTATTAAACCACGATATAGTGTCTCAAAGGTGATCTTCTGGGGAAGAAAACCTCTCTCTATCATTTCCATGAAAAACTGGCATGCTTCCCTCCATTTCTTATTGTCACATAAACCATGAACCAACAAGGTATACGAATTGAGATCAGGACCAACAGTGCTCTCACACATATCATTCCAAACTTGCATAACGGTGTCATGTTGGTTCAACTTGATAAACATTCCAAGCAGTATGTTGTAAGTGTGAATATCAGGTGTGGCTGGTGAACCAGGGGCCTTCATCTTATTGTACAGCTGTAGGGCACCATTCACATCTTTTCTCCCTCGATACTCTTTGAAGAAACAATTGTATGTGGCCGGCGAGGGGCATACTCCCTCACTTGCCATCTCATCAAGCAAGCTCTCAGCATCATCCAATCTCCCACAGGAAGCAAGGCACTTGATCACAGAAGTGTAGGTTGCCACCGTGGGACAAATGCCTCTCTCTTTCATTGAGCGGAACATACAGAGACATAGTTCAGGTTTATGCGCACGACTGTAAACATGCAGGATGACAGAGTAGCTTGTAACATTGGGTTCGATTCCCCTTTGATGCATTTCTTTCAAGAGATCCTCAGCTGCACGAACTGTTCTATCAAACCGGTAATCAGGGTGCAAGCTTGCATGCCTACAGATACCATTGAGGAGAATGTTGTATGTAACTATGTTGGGTTCTATCCCATGATAAATCATATCTTTTAGGAACTTCTGAGCCATGTCATTTCGGTTTACCTTGCACCAACCATAAATTAGAACAGTGTACATCTTTTCGTTTGGTTCATACTTGTATTTTCTTTTGTTGAATACTTCCGCTGCAACCTGCAGTGGTGACAGATGAGTAAATGACAATGATTAGCAGAAGAAACCATGGAGCTGTCCCCTTTAACAAGGAATGTTCACAAAGCAGCCAAAAAATGAGTTACAGGCAGACAGTTGATCAATGTAATTCAAACACTAGCACGCATAAAGTATGTGTGACTGTCTAGCTAACATTGATTGGCTATCAACTCAGCAGCAGCAAATTCTAGAATAGTGAAAAGCATCAGAAGTTCAAAACGCATGAAGTAGCAAAGACGAACAATTCTGTTGTAAAAAAAGGTCTAACATGTGCAAGAAATGGTTATTAGGAAAACTGAAACTTTCAACAGACAATGAAGGTTCAAAATCATAACTCCATATTCATCCTAATATTCAGAGATAAGCAATTGCAGCACACTTCAATGAAATTTTGATAAACATACGACCTAATATTGTACCGGCATGAGTCTGGTACTCTGGTACCTGTCATTCTAGTGTTGCTCTCTATAGGTTTCTCAACAGATAACACAATTAGTGGTCAAATCCAATCCTACACTAATAACATATTACTCAAATCAGAGTTGCTCGGTTAATGTTGCTTGGCAGCACAATAAAAAGTTTACAAAAATGTACAGAAAAAAAATATTCACAAGAAGCTAAATGCCTAAACATGAAGCTCATGTACTAACGTCATCCATTAATTAAGAAAACTCCTAAGAAGGAACTATTCAATATAAGATGTGAATCTACCCATAAATCCTTGTGCACAATGAAGTGTAACAAAAGGCAAACAGTTCTAGGATGAATCAACCTAACAGGCAATATCAGACACAAAATATTCATCAGCGATACTAGTGCACATCCCATGAAACTGCAACTACAAATGTTTTCTTCACTCTACAAACCACGTACATGACAAGGCCTTAAGCTATACAAACAGATTCATACTACGCGAACAGTAGAAAACACAGCTCATACTCGTTACACAAAGTACATTGGTAATTTGGTATGCTTATCTGAAGCTCGATCGATACTCAACGAATTAATCAAAACCACACTTTCACAAACGGCTACTCAATGGGCTAAAATTTTACAGCGTGCAGAGAACAAAAGAATCGAAATGTGTGAAGCTAAGGCATTTACACTGAACTCAATCCAGCCAAAAATAATCTCAGGGCTGAACAGTGAAAACCTACGAATTCATTCAGAACATCCTCTGAAACTAACTAGTGACCAATCTTTATCAAGCCAAGAAAGTTAGCTATGAGCAAATAACCTTTGGATACTTGTACTTGCAGAGGGTGTCGAGCAGCGTGGTGAACTCGGCGGCGTCGGGCTCCCTCCCGACGAACGCCTCCATGTCGTCGAACGCGCGCACCGCCTGCCGCGTCATCCCGGCGGCGACGTACCTCCTCGCGAGCACCGCGAACGTGCGGGGCGTGGCGGCGCCGTCCGCCGCGGCCTCGACGACGAGCCTCCACGCGGCGTCGAACTGGCGCGCGCGGCCGAGCGCGTCCACGACGGCGTCGTAGGCGTCGGCGGCGCGGGAAGAGGCGGCGGGGGGAGGGTGGAGGCGCGCGGCGTGGAGGAGCGACAGCGCGAGCTTGGAGGCGCCGCGGAGGCGGAGGAGGAGCTGGACGAGGAGGTCCCCCGTGAGGGAGACCCCCCCGCCGGAGAGGAGCTGGAGCGGCGACTCGGCCGGGTGGAAGGGGTTGTGGTGCGCAAGGAGGAGGCGGGCGAGCTCGTCGGCGGCCGGGGACGGCTCGACGGGCGGCAGGGCGAGGAGGTGGGTCGTGGTACAGAGGAGGCGGCGGCTGGCGGCGGCGGCGGGGAGATGGCGCGGCATGGCAGGCGGCGGCGGCGTGGCCGGAGTTGGTGGATGGAGGAGCGTGGTGAAGCGGTTTGGGGTTTGGGCTACGAAAATCTGTACCGTTGGTTTTGGTTGGTTGGACGGCTGAGATTGGAGGAAGCCGCGCAGTTAGTTCTGCTGCCACTGCAGAATCGCAGATCTCCAAAAGAAAAGGAAATGTAAATTAAGTAAAGCTGTAAATACTTTTGCCAAACTATCTCAAAATTACGTATTTAAATCGCTGTGTCACGAAACCATATATAACCAAATTTATCACAGAGCTACAATGTTTAAGATGGAATTGTGGAGTATCAAAACTACATTTTCTTAATATTCTTTAAGTAACATTTTAGTAAAACAAAATTATAGAACTAATGATATTGCACCAATTTGATCAGACAACTATAACGTTTATAGCTTCCACAGAACAATTTGGATTAGGGATTTAAACTCTAAACTTGCAGTTTTGTAACAGCTTCAATAATAAATCCTTAGTTTTATGATAATTTATCTTAAATATGTAGTTTAATTTGTGATAAATTTGATACTCTATAGTGACATGATATCTTATATTTTTAGTTATGTGACTATTTGCTCGAAGTATATGTAGTTTTCTGAAATTCGCTAAAAGGAAATTCAGCTACAGGAGCATAAATCAAGGTTGTTTTTTTTGTGGGGATAAATCAAGGTTGTTGTTAGGTGTTGTTCGGTTAATCCCTTTCGTAACGTGTTCCACATCTATTAAGGTGAGTAACTAGTTGGTAAAATTTTGAACCAGCTGATTTCCTATTCCATGATTATCTTTATAAGCTTGCGAAATGTGGAAGATTACAAAGTGAATACATGACTATCTTTGTGAGCTTGTGAAATGTAGAAGATTACAAAGGTGAGTCATAGTATACGCTTGTTACATAACAGAAGCCATCTTTTGGTGTCTAACAAATTGCATTGAGCAAACTGTCGACAATAACCGTAACAATTTTGACCGTGGTCGCAGTCTCGTAGAGAATGACATTTATACAAAGTGAGGTTAGCTTAATTATATGTTGATATCTCCGGTCTGTTGCAATTATTATATGAGGTTTGGCCAAATAATTTTTAGAGAAATATTATAAAGACCCCCCTAATAGTAAGGGTTGAATATGAACCTTTAGTATCACCTTACTATTTGTAGAGTGACACCTTACTATTATTAATGGACTCTCTCCGTTACCATGCAAGTAAATTTGGTAACGTGAAAGAGAAAAGGGGGAGGAAAGGAGAACATTGTTGCTACACATAACAACGACTCTAAATTTTGTTACATGATGGTGAGGTAAAGAAAAAAGGGTAATAATAAATTATTTTTTGCAGTAATCGTTAAGAGGTTTTGTTGTCTCAATTATTATAGGAGGATAGCCTTTAAGTCATATGTATTAACTAACAACCCGTATCAAACTCTACCTTTGTACATGCCTTGAAAGGGTGAGTTCTCCGACACATGCATAGATGGCGCGCGCGCACGACGTGCATGTGAATGTCCGCTAAAATTGGATCCTTATGCTTGCACAGACGCATCTTAGTATTTGTGGTGTTTGAAAACTCATCGTATTCTTGGGTACACATGACTTAACTAGTTTAGTTAGATCACACGTTCTGATATCTCTATAAAATACTAAGTCACCATCTTCATGCAACACATATGAAAATAATCTAGGATTTGCCTCATTCTCTGTACTGCACTGTCATTCATGGTCTACTCTGTCCCACCAATCCGTGTGCATGTGTGATCATGAGAGCAGGTCCTCGGATCCATCATCTTCGATGTCCTGCATCGCGAGAGGATTTTGGGAAGCGTTCAACACGTGTCTGCTTGTTGTTCATCCACAATGGCACATCTTCTTTTACGCTTGGGCACTGCGCATCGTTGTCACCATTCATAGCATGCATCATACGTGCAATACGTGTTGCTTCCTTCCACAACATAATCAGAACCGTCGGGTATGTATCAATTATATTTTGTATGTTTGTATCTGTCGTATACATGCCTATATTGTGTGGTTTACATATTTAATATCGTGATTTATTTAATCCATGTCTCTATATTTCCAACAATATCATGACTTGATCGAACAACTCTAGTTTATATTGATCTGGCCCTTTGTTGGGTTGCATACCTGCTGTATTTTCTCTCCCATTTTTTGTTCATTCATGAGTTGCGTAGCCCACTGCAAATCCTCAATTCCTCACCAAAACATGAAATCTTTCTGTTCTACCTCTCATGTCATCAAGTTCATGATTCATGATTCATGGATATCCATGGGATGGGTTGTCTTGACAGGAATTGACAAGGAAAGGATTGCTTTATCTTTCTATGGGCTTTGTATAATTCCATGTAGGTGAGAACGTAGTTTCCCAAAACTTTGTGGATCACCTGTCGAACCTTTTGCTTTCTTCATAAAGTATCAAAAGGTTGGAGCATCTCTCTGGGGAGATGAAACTGGTGCAGATAGGCTAGTGATTGCTTATCGTTTGATTTTTTTAAGTTAAATTTCTTTATGATTGACTAGATTTATAGAAAAAACTAGCAACATCTATAACACTAAATTACTCTCACTAAATTTAACATTAAATATATTTGATAATACTTTTTCCAAAAATTTGGGCAAATATAAAAAAAATGATTTAGAAAGCAGCCAAACGACTTAGAATATGTAACGGAGAGAGTATGTTTTAGCACTTTGTATACCATGCTTTACTGCTTTTTTTTTTGTTTCCGTGTATGTAAAAGGTTTCCAAACATTCTGCTGTAACAGGAATGTTTACATGTGCGAACTGTCAACTGTTTGACGTGCGATGGGAGAAGTGTGTGTGTTGCCTTTTCATGACATGAACAGTATGCATCTCCGTGCAAATGAATCAAGCAATTTACCTTCGAAAAGCCGCATCTGCAAAACTGTTTTGCGATCATCTTTTAAAGAAATAATAATTGGATCAATCTGGAATACAAACCGACCTTAGCTCAGTTGGTAGAGCGGAGGACTGTAGTCGTTGCAGATCAATCCTTAGGTCGCTGGTTCGAATCCGGCAGGTCGGAATATGATTTTAATTTTTCCTTTTTTAAATCTCCTCATCTTTGTGCAGCACCGGGGGAATTGATGAAGCCAAATAGCCAATGTATTGCTCAAGATCTTTTTTTTAACAAAAAATCATGACATACCGTAAATGCAAGTAATGCTGGTTCGAATCCGGCAGGTCGGAATCTAATTTTAATTTTTCCTTTTTTAAATCTCCTCATCTATGTGCAGCACCGGGGGAATTGATGAAGCCAAATATCCAATGTATTGCTCAAGATCTTTTCTTTTTTTTAACAAAAAATCATGACATACCGTAAATGCAAGTAATGTTTGTATCATGCTTTGCCAGGAATCACATGGAGTAAACGAAGTTCAGCAGAAGTCTAGAACTCCAGATCCACATAGAAATTCTTTTAGTCTGAGAATCCCTTTTTTTTCTTTGAAACAGATCAAGTCAATCTCATTGCTCATCACTAACCATGAACTCAAAATGCATGTACAATGAATCCAGGCAAGCATTCCATCAAACCCAACCAATTTCCATCCTTTTTTTTGTTCTTGCTGGTAAAGACTGGAGTTTCTAGCCATTCCCAGCATTTCTTTTGCTCTACTTCTTCTACATCTACCTCTCTACTCTTAGTTTCACTATGGAGAACACAACCACAATTACAACCATGGTGGGGATGGTTAGATTCACTCAATGGCCGGCTTCCATTCCTAATGCTTTAGCTCTCCTTGCCTCCAAGAGCTTGTCTTTAAGATGGAGGGAAGAACCGGTTGAGGTTGAAGGGCAGGGTGTAGAACTCCTCATTCCGGCTGTCGCCTCTGAACGTCCTGAACCTCGCCCACCATGGCATCCCCCGGTCCCTCGCCGCATCCCTCACCTCCAGGGTGTTGTCGAGGATCACCGCGACGATCAGACCGACGGTCGGGGGCGAGGAGAAGACGGTGTTGATGTAGTCATTGAACTGCCACACACCACACAGAGAAAAGAGAAAAAAAAAAGATCATGAGGTTTATAAGTTTCAGAACACAACTTCAGAAAAAAAATTCAGTTTCAGTGGACATACCCATCCTGCCCTGGTGTGTGCAGGGCCGTGCAGAGCGCTCATGGTGTAGCGGAAGAAGTACTCCGGGATGGAAATGCCGAGGAACAGCGAGACGCCGATGATGAAGAGGCTGCGCATCGAGTTCATGTTGGTGAACTGCATGAAGGAGAGCCCCACTGCACCTGAGAAAAGATCCAGCAAGACATGTGTTGTAGAGGGTTGAAATCTTGGTGATAAAATGAATAGATATAAGAAAGAAAGATATGTGAGAAGAACATCGGTAATTTTGATACCTAAGACACTTACCAACATATCCAAACATGACGCAGTATATGGCGGCAAACATTGTGAATGGAATCGAAGCAAACAGAGCCCCAAATCTCCCTGAAATCATGAGACGTGTTGAGAACCAGGAAAGGTGATTCAGGATCATAATCTTTTTGTGCAGAAAATGTGCTACCTAGAATGGAGAAGAAGATCATGAAACCAGCGGAGATCTGTATCACTCTTCTGCTGCCAATCCTGGTTGATCCAAGAAGACCAATGTTCTCTCTGCGTTGGCGAAATCGTATGCATTATGTTAGGAATACATGATAGTGCTAGAGGATATCGGAGAGTAAATAGTTTTCGATAAAGAAGGAAAACACTTACACAGAGACCGTGGAGCCAGTTCCAGTACCAAATAGCCCATCAAACAGCAGCCCAATTCCCTGATTGTTCACATAAAGGGCAAAAGCATTATACTCCTGATCAACAGCAGAATACAGATTTTTGTAGAGCTACTCAGATCCTAATGCTACTCAGATGATTAAATTCATTCTAAGAAAGGTCTTGCATTCATGTGGCCAAGATTCTACTAATCTGATCACAACTAGGATTTTAAGAATGGCCTTGCATTGTGTAATCTTTGAATATTTGCAGAAATGAAGAAACAAACCTGCCATCCAATGCCTCTGCTGAGGACATATGGTGGTGGGGGTGTTGCACTCGCCAACCGCGCAGCAGCCTTGAATGCTCCAGCTGACTGAATCACTCAAAAAATTGTCACCAAATCAGATCAGTATAATGACATATGCTAACAAGATACTTATCTTAAACAGCTTGGTATAGATTTCACAGTAATGAAATGTTACCTCTATCAAGGACACCACAACAGCAGCCATCATACCAAATGCATGATCTGCGCTGAATGTTGGCGGACCCCATTGCAGTGGGTATGGGATGTCAATCCTGAAAAAAAAATATATTTTTTTTAAAAAAGGATGAACATTAGAAATCTACTAGTACCAAAGATCACATGAAAATTGAAGAAAAATCCACAAAGTACAAACCAGTCTGCAGAAGTGATGAGATTGGCACGGTCTGTTCGGCAGTTTATCTGGGTGAGCAGAGAGGTATGTTTGTATGTCCCACTTGCTGTGAGGATGTGAGCATAAACCCAGACAAGCGCGATCGAAATGAGCACTGAGAACCTCTCCAATATCGGAAAATGGCGCACTTGTACATGCTTCAGATATTGGGAAAGAGCAACAAACAGGACAAGCATTGGAAGCCCAATCTCCACGCACCTCCCAATCTAAAAACACAATGTCCATATGTTAGCTTAACAACCAAGTAAGCAGACATAGAGCATACTTATTCTAGTTTGTACAATTTGATAATCCTCCTAAGTGTAAATATGTGTTTGATGCTACTCAAAATATCCTGATTTATTGTAAATGCCACTGTGTATAATTCAATCATAGAAATGAAACACTTCAACTTTCAGTTCCAACTATATGAAATGATCCCAAATGGTCCTGTTGAAAGCTCCCAACTAGGAAGCATATGTTCGCATAGTGCCAATAACCAGTTAAGATAAAGATAGAGAGTAAGCGGGTTTAGCAAAGAAACAGCACTAGAGACTTTACCACTGGGAATCCTCTCTCGAAAAGGCCAAGCCCCACCAGCGCAACCACCGGAACCATCCCAAGTGGACTGAAGAACCTGCAACATGACACCGGGAAATTTTAAGATTCTTATCGTCAATCCGAAGGGTCGCAGCCATGTCCTATTACTTTTGGATAATTGGCATTTGGCACTCTTTGATTTTAGTATATTAGCATGATGCACTTTGTCTCTAAAGTGATGCCCACTTCTCACACTGAGAGAAAACAAAGTGGATGTCTTAAGGGCCCAGGGCAACCAGGGCTATTATAAAGAATAACCAGGGCATAATCTACTGATTGATCATGTGCTCCTAATGTCAACACGCATGATGCCAAAAGTTACACAAACACACAAAAAAGGCTTTGGTAGAAGACAACCCTTACTTGCAATATAAGTAAACCAAAACACTGCTCAGTCTCATGTTCACTTGTCCATACAAGTTAAGAAGAGGAAAAATACGTCTAGTATGGACAAAGCAAGAATTTGGATATTTGGACTATACGATCAAATTGGACACGAGGAAGTTGTATGTACCTGGAGCATATCCCCCACAACTGGCTGTAGCCAAGAATTATTTGGATGCAGGAGGATATTATTAAAGCCCCCTGTATGGCTCTCATAGTCATGATAAACCTCTGCAATAGGATAAAGGACATTTAATCATTATTATCTAAGAAAAGGAAACTTTTAATAAATAAATGAAACTTGTGATGCTGAAATGACCACTAATGATATTGACTATCTAGAAGGGGGAAAAAACCATGGCATGCTTACAGTATGGTCATCAGTTATTTGTGCCAGTGATGGGTCTTTTATTATCGATATAACCGGGATCACGAACGCATACGAGCCTCCGATGATGGTCGGAAGCCGAGTTCCAAACAAAGTTTGGAGCATTGTGTTTATCCCAGTCACAAACAGCATGGTTTGCACCACCTTTGCCTTGTCATGCTGGAAACAAAACAGACAAACATGTACCTATCAGCATGCACTCCATCACAAAAGCAGTGACTAAAAACATCATTATCTGGAAAGAGAGTTGCTGGACACATGCAAGTGAAGTGACCAACTAATTCGAGGGTACTATACTATCATTCATAGAGCCCTCTCCCTACGAGCATCTTATGGAACAGGAGGTAGGTACCAAAATTCATTTATCTGATCTGCAGAGTACAACTTTTGTTTCATACTATTAAATTCCACAAGCTTAATTACAACGGTACATAAATCCAATGCATTTAACCAGAAGATTCATCTTGAAAGTAGTAGCATTTATTATTACAGGATACACACTACAATGATTTCAATAACTAGATATGAGTATATAGCTGAATGGATAAAATGGCATGGTAAAACAGTGAAAAGATTCTTACAGCATTTCCACCCATGAGTGGAACCAGTAAGGTGGGGATCATCACAGCCGTCCCCAGGCAAAGGATGTAATGCTGGAACCCCAGGGCAATTGCCTCCCCTGTACCATGAAAATTAAATCACACAAAATTAAATACCAGACAAGGAACAGACAGATGAACCCTACAATCCTAGTCACTTCAGTGAAATCATTATCTGTACATAAAAAAAAAGGAGCTTGAGTGAAATGACAAACTTACCCCAGGATGGGTTGGAGTCTATGCAGTACTCCAGCCCCTGCAGCTGATCCATTGGTGGATGGCTGATCTCCTCTTGCTTCATGTCAGCCATCTCTACAGAAGCAGGAACTTCTCCCCCTTGTTCTTCTGCTTGTTCAGGGTGATCTAACAATTGCCACAATGAGCAATCAATAAGAGAAATCAGGCTTAATAAATGTGATTGAGTGGGTAGTTAAATAAGATAGGATAGGAAAGGAAAGCAGTAAAGAAGGAAGCTTTAAGCAACTTTATTGGCCTATAGGCTATGAGAATCAGATGCCACAGGAAGAATTCCCCAGAGAAACAAAGCAAACCCCTTTTAAGCCCTGAACAAAAAAGAAAAAAAATGTGCCTTTCAGGCCTGCAACAATCTGGCAGCTGGCTTGCAAAGATTGACGCCCTTAATCTCCCAAAACATGGAGCAAACATCGCAAAGACAAGATTTTGTTTTTCATCACTGATCAAGAACCATTCCAGGACACACCCACTCTACTTGCAAAACCCTCAAACAAACATCAAGAAAGCCAAGAAAACCAACAAAAGAAAAAGATCACCATGAGCAAATGCTCTCACCTGTCAAGAATGCTCACCCTCACAAAAATTTCCCAACCAACGCTAGCAAAACACAGCGCAAAAGAAACTAAGCACGAGTAGGAAGAGCAACCCAGCAAGGCGCCGATTTATAGCCCCAGAATCGAAACGGCTAGCTGCAGGAATGAATGAATGAATGCCTAAAATGAACAAGATCAGTTTCTTGCGAATATTCAGATTTTCTTTTCCAGCTGAGCAAGCGGAGGGAAGCAAGCAAGCAAGCAGTAACAGCAGCAGCAAGAGCAGTGTCTGTAGCGCGAGGAAGAAAGAGAGAATGAGAGAGAGAGAAAGAGAAGTGCTCCGGGAAACGTCAAAAAGGCTGTGGTGGCCAAAAGAAGCCACAGGGATCGATCACACACACAACACAGGCAGCAGCAGCCTATCAGAAGTTGCAAGTAAAGATGAGAGAGAAAGAGTAGTAGTAGAAATGGATGAACTGAAGCTGCTGTACATGACTACTCGAGTGAGTACACGCCATTACTACCCCCCTAGCAATAAGCTTTCTCTCTCCTACACGCCATTACAGCCCCTTTCTCTCTCTAGACTTATTTTTTTTTTCTAGGTGAGAAATAAATCCGGCAGATACTTTCCTTGTCATAGGAGTAGAGAGAGACCGATAGTCCATTGTTTAGTTTATATTTATGCTTAGGCCTGTTTAGTTCCAATTTTTTTTTCTAAAAACGTCACCTCGAATCTTTGGACAAGCATTAAATATAGATAAAAACAAAAACTAATTGCACAGTTTGCATGAAAATAGCGAGATTAATCTTTTGAGACTAATTAGTCTATGATTAGCTATAAGTGCTATAGTAACTCATATGTGCTAATGACGGCTTAATTAGGCTCAAAAGATTCGTCTCGCGGTTTCCAGGTGAGTTATGAAATTAGTTTTTTTCATTCGTATACGAAAACCCCTTCCAACATCTGGTCAAACATCTGATGTGACATTCAAAAATTTTCTTTTCACGAACTAAACATACCCTCGTACTGCTAGTTGGTAATAAAAAATAATTCATGGGTATTTTTTTACAATGTCCTAAGCGGTTCAAAAGAAAATACTGTGAAATAAATTATGACTGAACCATATATAAAATCAACTTCACAATTAAGTTTAAAATTTTTTTTTTTCTTACAAGCATAAAAGTAAATGAAAAGATGGGTTCTGAGATGAGAAAGGATGCAAAATGTACCCCTGAAAGGTGGGGTCCACGTTGGTTTAACCAATGCACTGTTGGCATTCACATTTTCACAGAGCAAAGAAGCTGAATTTTTCTCTCTCTGGGAGAGTTTTTGTCTGGCACAGTGCCACCGCAGGCAGTGGAGTTATCCTCCTGCGAGCATCTGAATTGGCCCGTTGGGATTTCCCTCTGACCAAATTGCCCTCCCCCTGCCTGACAGGTGGGGACCCATTGATCGGGTGCTTTGAGATTCGTGCGGTGGAATTCTGCTTCTGGCTGGCTAGTGGCTGGAACAGGTGTAGATGTTTGGTTGGTTATGCTTAAATTAGTGTTTTAATTAAGCACCTTGAATGTGCTAGTACTGGTTTGAGTGATTCCTTCTTTGGAAGTGCTTTGGTCATATTCAATTGATTTCATGAATGGGTGCAGGGTATGTACCAGGAAAAGGACAAAAAAAAGGTTGGTGAAACGGCTGAGATAATGTTGCTGAAATGTTTTTAGTTTTATATAGAATAATAATAAATATTTTTTACTGATTAGTCTTAAGAAAATTTACAGCTGTCTGATTTTTTTTTCATGAAATAGACTCTTGTGAAATCTAAGCCATCCGATCTAGATCCAATTGAGTAAGGTTTTGTAAAAAGAAACTTGGTAGTGAAACATGACACTATTTATGTAAAATACAATTACGCTTTAGAAAGAAGAAACAAATGGAAACAACAACTCACTATGGCTCTTGGCACAGACACCGTCCTAGGCATAGGGGAGATCAAAATAAGAAGTCGTACCTAGATGACGACGCCCGTCCTGGGCTACGGGAAGTAGATAGATAGGTCGTTCAACTCTTGTCCCCGAAGATAGGTAATATGTTCTCATATAATGTTGCTCCAACTTTTTTTCTCGAGGGCCTAACTGGTGAGATTTTATTTAATTGTCATGAACTCTAGTGGATTCACTGTGTAAACCAATGAAATATGTCTATAAAGTGAAACTTTCATGTAGTAATACTATTTCTTTATTGCAAAAGTTAAACAGATCATATAGATGATGATTTCAATACTACTCTACTAGATCTCCATGTACTTTTTGAGAAAGAAATGAACATCTTGTACGCCCTCATATCCAAATCTACCATGATAAAAGTTATGTGTGCAGCACAAAACAAAAAAAAAACAATACAACTATTCAAAAGTTTGGATCTTTAGATCTAAACTTTTTGAGTCCTCATGAATAACCTAAGAGATCAAACTCAAGTTTTTTAATATCATGAACTTCCATTTAAAACTAATGAAGATTGAAAATATGGGTTGATTACACATAGGTCTTTGACTTATTCTTCAGACTGGAAATACTACGTATCTCAAACTCAGATCTAGATCTGTCAACATGAACTGTGCAAAAAGAACAACTGCAAGCTTAAAAAACAATCAAATATCATCACAAGTATCAAATAGTTTACCCGTTGACGGTTCATGGTTACGCGCAAAAATGATAGCATCTTTACCATAACTCTCAATAGGCATGAGATGGCAGCTACCTGCAGTAATAGCGGTGAGAGTAGGGCTTGAGCACCATTCCTTCCAATATAGCTAATCTTCCTCATCATGTTGTAGATCTGGGATATCCGACCACAATTTTTGGCCGAACGACACGACGTGCTCCATGAGACCTGCCATTAGGAATTCTAAGAGAGACTAGTAGCAACGAAGGAGTTGGTGATGATGAATAGCTAGAGTATGGTGGAGATGTGTGCTTTCCTTTCTGCTGAGGTACCTTTAAATAGAGGGGAAAAGTTGCCCTGCATACTGCTGGCAACGTAACGCTTGAAATGTCTGTAGTGCGACACACCATTTTCTTTTAAAAATAATATCGCTTGAACTTATATCTTAAAATTATTGAATAATGCTGGAGATAAAATGCCTAAAGTGTTTATGGTGCGTACACAGTTTCCTCTTCATTTTTCTTTGAAAAATTTACAATTGAGCCATATGTCCTGAATTTTACCTTGTTTCTTTATTATTATTACTTCCCTTTTACTATGCCTTCCAATATATCTCATCTTCCTCATCATATTGTGGATCTGGGATATCTAACCACAATTCTTGGCTGAACAACACGACGTGCCCAATGAGACCTACCATTAGGAACACTAAAAGAGACTATTAGCAGTGGAGGGTTTGGTGTCTATGAATACTGTGGAGATGTGCGCTTTCCTTTCCGCTAAAGTACTTCTATATATTGGGGGAAAGTTGCCCAGTTTACTGCCGGCGATGTAACGCTTGACGAAGAATAACGTGCAGATGTGCACTTTCCTTTCCGTTGAAGTACCTCTATATATTGGGGGAAGTAACCTAGTATATTGTCGGCGATGTAACGCTTGAGCCTATATCTTAAAATTATTGAATAATACTAGTGATGCAATGCCTAAAGTGTTCGTGGTGTGGTACACCGTTTCCTCTTTATTTTTTTTAAATAATTTGCAATTGAGCCATATGTCATGACCTTTGCCTTGTTTCTTTAGTATTATTACTTCCCTTTTACTACCTGCAGCAACAGCGGTGGGAGTAGGGCTTGTGCACCATACCTTCCAATATAGCTCATCTTCCTCATCATGTTGCGGACGACGTGCTCAATGAGATCTGCCATTAGGAACACTAAGAGAGACTATTAGTAGTGGAGGGTTTGGTGACGATGAATACCGTGGAGACGTGCACTTTCCTTTCCACTGAGGTCGTACCTCTATAGATTGGGGGAAAGTTGCCTCGTATACTGCCGGCGATGTAATGCTTGAAGTGTCTGTGGCGCAACATGTCATTTGCTTTTAAAAACAATATCACTCAAGCCCTATATCTTAAAATTATTGAATAATGTTGGCGATGTAATGCCTAAAGTGTATGTAGTGGCACATAATTTCCTCTTAGTTCTTTTTGAAATAGTTTGCAGTCGAGCTCTCTATCTTGAAATTTTCAAATGCACCCTTCTTTGTTCTTTAGTATTATGCTTCCACCCTTTTTTTTTTTACTATTCTGAAGTAGTAGTGAGCGCAGGGTTAGTCGATTATATTTGCATTGAGGCAAAAAAGGGACAAAGATTGTGATCCACATTATATGAAATGGTATAGTACATGTGCAATTAGGGGCATTAATTTAGTGTGTGTTGTATAATTTTGTTCTACACCCATCAAACAAAAGGAGGAAAAATTTGCTTCCAGTTTCATTATATTAGAAAGTAATGTTTAACATGTTAGTATAACAAAAATACCTTACGGAGACATCTTTTTATTACTATAGAGGCATTTTCAAAAATATCTCATTGGGGCCTTACGGTGAATTGCCTATACAAATGATGACACATTTTATAAAATGCCTTTGTATCTTGCAATATTTTTATAGTCACATTTTTTATGTCTATAAGAGAGTAGAGACATTTTTCTAGAGGGTTTGGATTTTGTGACAAACATACCAAATAATTGTGAAAAAAACTGTGGTAGAGACATTTTCTAGAGGCATTGGATTGTGTGACAAACAAACCAAACAATTGTGAAAAATATGTGGTAGAGACATTTTCTAGAGACATTAAAGTGTGCATCAAACATACCAAACAATTATGAAAAATATGTGGTAGAGACATTTTCTAGAGGCATTGAACTGTATGAAAAACATACCAAACAATTGCGAAAAATATGTGACAGAGACATTTTCTAGAGACATTGGATTGTGCTACAAACATTTACTATTGTAAAAAATATATGATACCTATATTTTTCATAAACAATTGTGAAAACTATCTGCCGCTGATGCAATGAGCTTGCCGCCCCTTCGCCGTTCACTCCTCACGTGTCGCAGCTAGGAGTGGTAATGTGCCACGGCCCATGGGCCCTTTCACAATCCATCTTAGCCTTCAAATATTTTTAGCTCAAAAATCTATTAAGTCTCAGCCCAACTCTATTTGGGTCCAGCCCTCACATTTTATAGGCTAATATGTTGGGCCCATTATCACCCCTAGTCACAGCAATGGCTCGCTCCTTGGAGAGGTAGGCCATCCACGGCATGTAGCTACACCATCCATCGGAGCCGCGCCCTCGGTTTGCGACTCTGGCTTTAGCTCTTTCAGGTAGCTAGCTGTATGCTCTCATTGCGGCTCATCCTATCCCCACCCCCACCATTGCCACCCCACACCAATCCCCTTCCGCTTCTCCGGGGAGTGATGACTATCCATTTCCTCTCCTCAAGGCCAATACTGCTAGTCTAGATGCCATTAGCACCATTAATTAATTGGCTCTGTAAATCTCTTTTAAATCTTCCCATCATCGTACTAATCCTCACTCATCATCATTCCATTGGTGC